GTTTTTTCAGCTGCTCTTTTCAAAGTCAAACTTTGACAAAGTTTTTAAGAAATTACGAATCCCAAATAAAAACAGCAGAAAGTATCATATTTTTTGCTACTATATCATATGATGGGACATCCAACAGTCGGTGTGTGAGGAGGAGAGGCATTATAAAATCAAATCCATTAATGTGTTGTAAAAGCTAGACTAAAATTTTTTCATGTAGAAAAGTAACACCCTAGTGCAAAGTCCTTTGAAATACCAATATCATTAGGGATCATAAAAGTTGATCTAGATGGAAGTGAGGTGTTAAAAGTGGGCGGTACTTAGGGCTGGAAGCATGATGTCAGGGGGCTGCACTTGTCAACTTTGTAAATCATGACTTGACACCTCGGTTTGACAGGTGTGGCACTCTTTCTGTGGTGGTTTGAGGAGGCAACGAGCTCAGTTCAGTAATATCACATAGCACGATGGAGAGCTGTAGAGCTGATGTGCAAATATTTAGCAGATTAGTAGGAGAGAGACAGGTTAAAAGGCCATAGTCATATGGTGCTTTCCTCTCAAATGTAATAGAGAACAAGATAAATGCATGAACAAACTAAAATATAAAGTAAAGAGAATTATGCCCTACCTGCTGCAGGTTGGCTACAACACTATTTGTGTGTTGGACCAAACAAACAACATATGATGATTTAGATAAGTGATTTAGGAGCTGCACTCAGCTGTGTAGTGGCTGCAGTCAGAACTGAGGGAGTGATGCCCACTGGCCCATAATCCAGTCAGTATCCAGTTGAAACTGAATGTTGTATCAGTCAGTGTCAGTAAATCTTTGAGTGTGCAGAGAGCTGGCAGAAAGTCCACAGCTCAGCCAGAGAAGCACTTTAGCTCTTATTAGCCTGCAACTTTCACTGGAAGGAATGTGGCGCCACCTTGGAGTATGAAATCTGAGACATCAGTCTTTCAGCAAATGACCAAAAAACTACCAATGTTTTCTTTCAAGTATCAAAGCACTCCAACAGCCACAGTACTCATTTTTGATTTGCAGAAGATTTTCCATCTAAAACAATGAGACAAGCTTGACTCACTTTGTTTAATGCTGTAGCCTGCAGCGCTCAAAGTATCCATTAGACTGAGTTTCCCTCAGTGTCATGTAATGACATAATAATCATATGGTGTTACATATGATGTCATAGAAACACATCACTGAGTGTTAAGGGGTCACAATAATCGATAGTCTCCAAAACAGAGCCTCTGCATCATCCCACCAGTGATGTAACTGCATTGACTGATTGTGAGGATCTATTGTTTGACAAGACATGAAAAATGCAACAACTACATTTAAATATTTAATGATGAAAGCAATCAATTGGTTTAGACGTTGCCATGCACATTAATGTTTAAAGGAAGCAAACAACACAAAGCCAGTGTGTGAACTTAACATACCCATAGAGAGAACACAGTTCACAATAGTACCAGGTACCAGGTACTATCTCCAACATTTGACTAAGGGGAGTAGAGTCAAGTCAAATTGAGCTGGTACCAAGCGATGAAAAAAGGGCTAAAGTAAAGCACTCATTATGCAGAATGGAATCTTGATTGTATGTTATTGGATTAATGGTACTGATGACTTGACAGTGTTGGCTGGTTTGGGGCTACTATGTGAAGTAACACTGAACTCAAATACTCAAGTAGAATGAAAGTAGCCTACCTCCAAATTACATTTAACTACAGTACTTGAGTAATTTGAGAGCGAACTCTCCACCATGCACAACTATAATCATATGCCACCCCCCAAATCTGATTGGCCATCCCTGGTTCCACCTCTGCCAGATTCAAAATGTGATGCTTGAATGACATAATAAATGAAAAAATTAAAAACAATGACAAATTGCTGCCTTAAATACAACTAATATTTCCTGGTGCTTTGTAATTGATATTGGTGAAATTAGTTGTATGATATTTGCATTTATTTCTCCGGTGGGTGGGAACCACAGCGCAGCAACAGTGTCCCCTGCCAGGAGCAAATCAGAAGCACAGCCAAAGTTAGCTAAACAAAGCATTGCGTTTGTCTAATTGTTATACAAAATAAACAATGACATTATTAAGAATGTATGGTTTATTATTTCATAGAGCTATGAGTTTAATTTACTTTTTACATGTATTTCAAAAGTGCGTGTTGGTCCTGCGATGGACTGGCGGCCTGTCCAGGCTGCACCACGCCTTTCGCCCAAAGGCTGGCTGGGATTGGCTCCGGCACCCCCGCGACCCCATTCGGCACTAAGCAGTATAGATACTGGATGGATGGATGGATTTCAAAAGTGCAACCGCTTTTAGTCTAGATCCGCTCCTGCTACTTCACAGACAGACGTCACACATGCCCACCAATCGCCTCCTGTGTTTGTCTTGCAGCGCTTATAAACCAGGACAGCTCCACACTGCAGCAGTTTGTCCCACCGGTTAAGGTGCCGTGAACTTTACTCTACGCTTTAACGTTTCTGCAGTGTAGTTTTGAGTTTCTTTTTGGACTGTCCCATCATGCGTCTCCGCTTCGTCCTGTGCGTAATGGTCCTGCTGGCTTCTTCTTGCTTGGTCGCCAAGGCGCGGATAGCAAAGCGCTTCGCAATCGGCTGCCCGGAGAAGTGTGACAAGTCACAGTGCGCACCGATCCCTGCTGACTGCCTGGCTGGCGACGTGCTAGACCGCTGCGACTGCTGCCCGGTGTGCGCGTCCGGAGAGGGCGAGAAGTGCGGCGGCACTGGAGACCGCGAGTGCGCAGAGGGCATGGAGTGTGTGGTGACTGACGGTGGCCACCGTCAGGCGGAGGAGCAAGGCTGGCGTGTGCTTATGCGCCAGGACCGAGCCGGTGTGCGGCAGCGACGGCGTCTCGTACCAGAACATCTGCGAGCTGAAGCGCGTCAGCAACCGGGCGATGAAGCTGCAGCAGCCTCCAGTTATTTTCATCCAGAGAGGAGCCTGCGGTAAAGGTGAGGACTCAGTGTGTGTGTGTGTGTGTGTGTGTGTGTGTGTGGGAGAGAGAGAGAGAGAGAGAGAGAGAAAAACAAACCCTTTTTAGAGCTTGGTGCAGTGCAAGGCAGGGATCCAAATCTCACTAATCAGCAGATGGAAAGATGCCAGACAGATGGATGGAGCAAGTATGAGGAAGGGTGGAGATGTAATAGGAAAGCAAATAGCTATAAATATCAGATTCCAGATACTGTGGACAGTTTGCATTATCTCAGTGGTTTACATTTTGGTTGCAGTTCAGGTTTCAATATGGCAAAATGCAACTTTAATATGTCTCATCTCAGTTTTATTCAAAAGGTAATTTTCATATACTGACAAGCTACAGTACAGCATCAGTGATCGTTTCATTTAAATTCTCTTGTTAGTGCAAGCTGATGTTTCCTGAGGTCACTCACAGGTTTCTGGAAAAACTGAAGGATCTGAGATATGAGAACACTGATGGACTGCTGGGAGATGAGGGAGCTCATTCTGTGTGTTGACTTCTGCTGGAGTCACTCAAGTTCACCCCAACTCACACACTCACACACACATAGACAAACACAAACTTGTCTTGGAATCAGGCCAGGATGTCCTGAGTGCCTGCCTTGTACTGTAAAAACAAACATGGTTTCCTTATGACTGTGTGAGGGAGAGAGTGAGAGTACTGCAATGAAAGTATATTAAGGAGTGAACACACACACACACTGTGTTAAGTTTTCATCGTGATTCATTTCTTGGAGCCGATTGGCCCTTTGTGTAACTTCCCAAACAGACACAGATCTAGGTCAAAGCCTTATTTAACCTAGATTTGAAAGGATCAAAATGTTTTTCCTTCACCGTTTCCTGTGCAGACTTGTCAGCTGTGTCACATTGACTGGCCAGGAGACTGTGTCAACTAAACACTCAGCTGGGCACTGCATTTCTTAAGCAGACATTACTAAGACAGAGGTAGCAGTGCATTAGTTACAACAGCGGATGAATCCATGTTTGGGCTGTAGTGAGTATTTGTGTCAGCAGGATGGTGTGTATGGGGCTGAGTCAGAGTAAACTCCAGTGTGTGTGTTCATGGCAATGAGGGAACATGCCAGCCAGTGCAGCAGTATGGTCTCTGATGTGATTTGTGCTCTGAGCAGTGACTATCAGAATGTACCTGCTGCAGTGCAGGACTGACCCTCTTTCACCTCGGTATGTGCAGCAGGTACTGTTCCAACACCTGCAGCCAGTTTGAGGTTGGGAAGTTTCCGCGTTTGACTGATTGGCTCCATTTAGCACACCTCAAAGCTGCAGCAGCTGGCACACTAGTAATCGAGCAGCCAAACACCCAGCAAGCTAAACACACATGGACATAAACACATCAGGGTCTTCCAGAGAGGGAACTGCAGCTGTGGCTGGAGTGAACATTCAAAACAGATGTTCGGTCACAGATATCAGCCCCGGAGGAGGACCCTCAGTTTGGGGACCTGAGTCATGTGAACCGGACAGGAGTCACATGACTTGAAGTCATGACTCAGGTCAAGGATTTCACAACTTCAGTCTTAATTTGAAAAAATAATCAAATACTCTGTTGGACCTGAGCTGTATGATTTTAACCACTGATTGTCTCTGATAGCATAAACTGTAGTGGCGTATACAGAGAGGTCCAGCCTCGCCAACTGGCTCCACCGAACATGTCCAGTCAGGACGGAGAGTTCATATTCAGTAAGCAGTGGCTGCCAACTAAATGTGCACTGAAAGAGTTTTCACTGACATTCTGGGCTTTGTTCAGCCCTGAAATGCTTTGCAATCAAATAGTTAGTGGCCATTTCTTCATTGAGACGAAGCAGCAACATTGTGATTTGTTTCTGTCGTGCAGTAGCTTCATATAACTAGCAGCCAGAAGGCAGAGATGCATCCAGTGATGACATACTGCAGTGTATCAGACCGCCATGGAGCACATTTTGCACAGTTAATCTCAGTATGTTTACACCCTTGTTTTCAGCATTGGCTTTTGCTGCTATAGTAGCAGTGCTGTTTTAATCATGTTACTCAGCCTGAGTTGTCTGTGACTAGTTAGTGTAAGCAAGGCTTTGTTTAGTAGTACCTTAATGTTTTAATGCGCCATCCCATGTGCTGCCTTTAGGTCATGAAAACTCTGTTTTCGACACCAGCGCACACAGATGGGGTTGGTGACTCCTCACTGGTCCCAGCAGGTGGGAGTAAGAGGGGGTGACTTACAAACCAGCAGTCAAATGAGAAAAGAAAGATCTGGGACGGATGTTGCTGCGCCACCGGAGTGAAACCACCAGGGGGCTGTGTAATGTGGCGGCGACGGTTTTGATGAACTGCTGTAACATTGTCGAAAGGCGTCCTGACACCGCTCCCCTGCTATCTCCCCATGTCTGTTGAGGCTCTGAGTCACTTCCTGTGTTTGTTGAGCAGCAGAGTTTGCAGCTGCTCCCAGGCCCACAGTTCATACACTGTACACCACATCTGGATTTGGTTTAGCACAGCAGCTACAGTTTGGTTCCCATCCCATCCTGCGCCAATCAGTCCTCACACTTCAGATGAAATTCACACAGGGCATTGTGCCCAGTGATGGATGATGACAGATGATGCCTTCACAAGTCAGCAACATTCAGACATTACTGTTTTATCCAACCTGGCAACACGAGCCCACGGTTTCTCCTCTGTTGCTGTGGCCTGGCAACACCCCAGACAGTTTTATTTGAGTGTAAAATGGACTGACAGTTCTCTGCTGTAGAGACTGACATAAGCACCTAGTTGTAGGCGCCCAGTAACTGTGCTGCCGTGGAGCAAAAGCCGTTGTGAAGTGATCAGCCAGGATGGACATGCTTTGTGTGTTTGTGAGAGTGTATGTGAGAAAGATGGGGACTGAGATTGTATCTTAACAGATAAACATGAAAAGTGAGTTTGATAAGACTGGAGCATTTCAGTGCTGTGTGTCCTTCTGAGCCCATGCAACGGTCCGTGTGTGTGTGTGTGATACAGTTCACTGACGCTCTGTTTCTTCTCCCTCCAGCTCAGCAGAACCCTGACAGTCTACGTTACAAGTATAACTTCATCGCTGATGTTGTGGAGAAGATCGCACCTGCTGTTGTTCATATTGAACTGTACCGCAAGTATGAAAAACTACCTGGTCCAACAAGTTACACAAGAGAGACAAAGGGACCAGGGTCAAACACTGACACGATGAGAGCTGCTCCTGATCTACTTGTAGATACCATCATGTTACTTAGTTGTGCCAGTGTGACCACAGGGCAAATTGTCTTTTTGACATAAATGTATGTGATAGAGCTGGACTGTGTGCTCATGTTGTTGTTAAGAGGTGATTCATCAGAAACATGGTGCTGTCTTCTCCTCTGTCTGCTCAGGATGATATTTTCTAAGCGGGAGGTGGCAGTGGCCAGCGGCTCTGGGTTCGTCGTGTCAGAAGACGGACTCATTGTCACCAACGCTCACGTGGTGGCCAACAAGCACAGAGTAAAGGTACGCAAAGCAGTTGTACCTCATGTTTTTGTAGGAAATTGCATTTTAATTTACTACATAATTGTTTCTTATTTTATAAATGTGAAAATTATATGTCTATTCTGTGATTTTGTTTCATGGTTTGAAATTGTTAATATGACACTGAAAGTGCTGATGAGCTTCAGGATCCAGTGAGAACTCAGATAACGCGGTGGTTGATCGGGGCAAGGGCAGCAGGGCTGCCTGGTACTGATCAGGGTGCTGTTTTGTTTCCTCCAGGTGGAGCTGAAGAGCGGGGCCACATTCGACGCCAAGATCAAAGATGTGGATGAGAAGGCGGACATCGCTCTGATCAAGATCGATGCCCCGGTGAGCAGCTTGGTGGTCGATATTCTTGGTTTTAATGTCCTTTACAGGGACTCTTCTTTTTCTCTTCTGTATATTCTGTTTCTACATTTCATATATTCTATTTCCCCTGATTAATCTAACAGCCTCTTTGTCCTTTTCACATCGGTTAGCTGTCTGGTTCTGTTTCAGGGAGCAGCTGTCTGCTAACTTCCTCTCTTTGTGTCCTCACATGTCCCCTCTGTCCTCATTCCAAAACAAACCTATTCACCTTTTGGAAAAAATCTTTTTCATGAATATGCCCTGAGGTTAAAACCTGGTATTAATTTTAGCTCAGTGGGACTTTTGAGCATGTCAGGAGACAGAGGGAATGTTTTCATGTGGTTTTATTTTCACCTTCGCTCAGCACTTTGTGTTGGTCTGCTGTGACTGGACTGGTGGGTTCCGCTCAGGACGTGAGGTTTTCCGCAAAAACGGAGAAAAAACTTTTAGCAATAGAGAGTCAGTGTATCTCATTGTTGTACAGAAACTGGACATCCTGTCCAACATCAGACACTTCAGTACAAAGTAGCAGAATGCTTCAGTGCAGCTAAATGTCCTCTGGGGAGTTTGACCGCAGGTTCGACTGAATCCTTTCCCCTGAATTTAACAACCAAAATACAGAGCCAAAGCTTTCTAAAGCATCCTGGAAATGAAGTACAGCTGTGCTTAGGAAAGCAAACAAAATGCATCAGGATTTGGATTCTGTTGTCACAACACTGAAAACAACATTTAGGAAACTGATTTCCTTTGGGGCTTTAACATGTGGATATTAAATGACTCACAAGGGCCCAGTTTGGACTTTAAAACAGAATGCATTGTAGTTTCTGTCCTCATAAGCTAAAAGAAGAACATTACATTGTTGATCGTCAGCCTCTAAATGTATCAATCCCAAATATAAAAACCTTCTCTCAGATTTCTTACACCCGAGACTGTATGTAAACTATTCTGTGACACTAGAAGCTTCCACACTGCAGCTGCAGCGTCGACTGCATTGACAGTCACTGTATCAGCAGCAGAGTGCACAGTCAGTAGCTTTGAACAAAGTGGTTTGAATCAGTAATATGATCTGCATTGTCCACCTCTAATATGAATTTCCTCTTAGATCACTCCACTATGTACAGATTTGACAAATACCCAGTGAAGGTTGTGACATTTTCTCCAAACTGCTGCTGATAGTGACAAAAAAAAATCCAGCTCAGACAGGTGTGTCTCAGATTTAACCTTCGATGTTTGATGAATAACACCTTCACTGACCAACATGGCCTGAATAAATCAACCTAAACGCACACGCACGAACACGGATGCAGCAGGATGTGAGTTCCTGTTCACCCTTCAGTCAGAGACGGTCATGGTTTTCCTCGCCTGTCTGGGCAGCAGGGTGGAACCGTGGCTTCAAGGGTGGGAACTGCGCAGAAATCCACAAAATGCACAGCACTTGTGGTCGTGGTTTACACGAACGCAAACCAAGCGGCCAGCGGAGTTCCCACACATCTGTCCCAACACACACACATTTTTACACCATGTTACACTCAGGTTATTTGACATAAAACACAGAAAGTAGTTTGACGGTGAAACACAGTGGAAACAGCTGAAATTCTATTTGTCTATAACCCGTGTCCTAATGTCATGGCTTTGGCCATAATGTCTGCTGAGTATGAGGAAGGCTTTACTTTTTACAAGCCGACTGCTGTGATTCAGTTCAGCCAAATTGCTTCAGCACAGTCGAGCGGTAACAGCACCCAATCTGACCTACAGCATCTAAAAAACCAAAACGTACCTGCAGTGGCTGCAAAAGCTGAACCATAAATATGATATCACATATTCTGGTAGTTAAATCATCATTTCAAGGATCAAATCAAAGAAGTAGGTTTTTCATTTACTGCCTTAAGTAGAGATTCAGACATGTAGCTACATGTTCAGGTCAGATACGTTTCTGCTTCATAACTGTCACAGGGGTTTTTCCTTCTCATCACTGGTGCAGCTCATTTCTGCTCCACATTTCACCCCTTCCCACTACAAACACACCGTTGTTCTATTTTGTTGCCTTGGGATAATGATTGTGATCTCAACCTCACCCAAACTATTTCCGGGTGATGTTTAGATAATCCTCTGCCAGACAGTAGGGCAGCGGGTGTATGTAACAACCTATGTGCCTTGTGCCAGATAGGAGACATAACGATTAATGTCTGTTGATTAGATCAGCAGAGTCATCCAGTTCACTGTCTTAATTTTCCAGCGTGTAACTCACAGACATCTTTGTTATGTTTTATCAGTGTGAGACTGAGGAATCCACTCAGCAGAGCAGACAGAAACAGGGAGTCAGGAATGTGTATTTTGTTTAAAGCATCTATTTAACAAAGATTTGACAAAATTCACTTAAAATCTCACTTTTTAGAGAGTTTCTGGCACCTGTGTTGCCCTGCACTGTGGTTACTGAACATGTGCCGACAGGGGCAGATGAGTGTTCTGAATCATCCTCTACAGCCTCCACCTTGATCCAACACTGATCATCTTCCATGACACGTGTACTTGAGCAGCTTATGGAAACTCTGTTGATCAGCTCAGAGGATTTATCAGGATGCCTGAAGGCCAATGGCAGTATCTGATCCGTACTGCTAATGCTGCCATTTACTAGGACTGCTGATACTTCCTGCATGAATCTTCTGCTGTTATTTTTTCAGTCCGCAGGTTTTATTCCTTCAGTGAATTCCTCAGAGAGTTGGCAGACCTCTGCTTTGTTTGTTTAACCGGCAGCTGAAAGGTGTTTAGGTCTGTGCCCCAGATGAAGGAAGTGGGAGAGAAAGAGAAGAAATGTTTTGGTGTTTCTTTCGCTTATCCGTCACATGTAAACACACTGGATCTGTGCAACAGGAATTATTCACAGCAGATATTTTCACCTGTCGTCGTAAGATGATTTGAATGTGATTTGAATATAACAGGGTTTATACATGTGTCCCAGTGAGCCATGACAGCGAGGCAGCATGTGCAACACCAGATACCACAAGTAGGATGTGAGATGTTTTGTGTAACTGTGATTAGAGCCTACTGGGACTAACTTACAGTTCTTGAGTCGATTTGACCATGAGAGTGACAGAATTGCAGACTCAGCACTTCTCCTCAGCTCTGCAGAGCATTTTAGGGTCTTTTAGCTCCATTGTTTTGGTTTTATGGCCTATAACTTTACTCACTGCTAACAGTGACCTGGTCTCCAACATCAGCAGCAGCTGTACATGCCCAGCACCACAGTTTCATGGTAAAGCTCTGAGAAACATCTTTTTCACTAGGACAGACAGAAGGACACAGGAGGGATGGACAAACCCACTCCCTTGGTTCTTTGTGTGTGGCTGCTGTGTTAAAGTCAGCTGCATTGGCGTCTCTGAAACTACTGCTGAGCACGGCCCGTCGGCTTTGTAATCCCACCCCGGACAAACTGCTGTCGTTGTGAAAACCACAGAATGGGAAACGTGGTCATTTGCATGTTGGGCGGAGCTCGGCAGGCAACATGTTGGACACGGGCTCCAGAGGCTCTGAGTCCTGGTTGTGGTTCAGTACAGGTGAACAGAGGAGGTTTATGTTGAACTGACGGAGAAAAGCTCTGATTAGCACAGCTGAATGGACCCATTCATAACCATGGCTCATGGCGTTTATGTCTGCATATGCTTGATGGTGATCTGGGAGTTAGTCTGTGTGCATGTTTGGGCTGGTGCAGTGGGTTCGACCTCAGCAGAACAACATGATGCTTCTCACTGGGATTATATGTAAGACATTAACAAATTACGTTCGAAGTGTCTGTGACTTGTAGGCAAGCAGGTGGTGTATTTACATTTAGTGGATTTCAAGATGAACAGGACAAGATAGATCGGGGGGGAACAACACACTTTATCAGCAGAAATAAGTAAATATGAACAATATGTAAATATGGTCAAATTAAAAATGCATCACTTTAATAAAAATATCGACTTCTATGTCAAAACAAATTACAATGTAGCAAATGTATGAAAATTTATATAGTGGAAAGGTGGTTAGTCACCTCACAGCAAGAAGGTTCCGGGTTCAAGCCCCAACAGACCAGGGCCTTTCTGTGTGGAGTCTGCATGTTCTCCCTGTGCCTGCGTGGGTTCTCTCCGGGTTCCAGCTTCCTCCCACAGGCCAAAGACATGCAGCTTAGGTTGACTGGTGACTCTAAACTGCCTGTAGGAGTGAGTATGAGTGTGTGTGGTTGTTTGTCTACATGTCAGCCCTGTGACAAACTGGCGACCTGTCCGGGATGAATCCCGCCTCTCACCCAGTGTTGCTGGGATTGGCTCCGGCACCCCCGGGACCCTATTCAGGAATAAGTGTTTTAGATAATGGGTGGGTGGCTGGTTTAATAGTTAATGTAGCGCTTTATTTTATGGGACTGTAAGGTCCTTCTAAATGATTTCTGCAAACTTCCTGGAAAGGATTATGTAAGTTTGGGATTCATTAGGAAAAACTAAATCTGTTCATTTAGTAGTGCACAATCAGCTGAACACACAATGTGAAGACATAGTTAATAAAGTTTCCAGTTATACTAAAAAATAGGAATTTAAATGGAGCTTTTCTTTCAAGGACATTTCTATTGTTCATTAAAATTAATAAATGATTCCATGTTCCTTCAAAAGTATAAACTTTATCCTGTTGAAAAACTTAAAGTTCATCTGAGGGGGAACTTGCTGTTGTAAGCATAAAGTGGGGAAACATATCCTAAACCTGGCCTGGATGGACATGTTCACACAGTGAGGCTGCAGCGAGCGCACGCTTCAGTCTCAGACTACTGCTTCTGCGTCAGCTCCCACATTTTATTTTACTTTGTCATATGACATGACTCATTCAGCCCACAAGACACACACACACGAACACTGATGCACAAACTCCACGGGCCAGGCCACATGTACGCACGTGTTGAGCATACCTGTGGTTTCAGTTCATGCTTTTTGTGCACATCAGTCAAACTCAGAAATGGGGGTTTCAGATGAGTTGTGTTCTTTGGTTGTTTGGAAGTGTCTTCATCAGTCCCCAGCTGCCCTCAGACATGAAACACACATCTGTCACGTGCATTGTCACTACTGTCTCTGCTTCATTTAAGGAGTCGCTCTTTCCTCCTGGCTCCCCTCTCCACCGTCTTCCTACTTTCTTCGCTTTTTCTTCTTTCTTCTTCTTTCTTTCTTCCTTGATACTACAACTTAGCAAAAGTGGGTCAGAGTCTTCAGACTTGTTACTTAACCAAGGAAACAGGCAACACACATGTCTGTCATCAGCAGGGAAACGAGATGAAAACACACGTGTTGCCAAAAAAAACACCCACTTGTCATGCTTGGCGGAGGGTGGTATTGGTGAAAGAAGTGTCCTAACATCACAGCTGCTTTATACCTCTGTTCTTCTGTTCCACGTCACATCTGGGCCTGAAGTAGGTTAGTAGGACGACGTGCAGCAGGCTCAGTTCAGAGGGTCGTCTAATGTGCACACTCAGTGACTTGAGGGCTGGAGCCAGAGCCAGTGTCTTAGGATCGTAGATGTGTTAAAAGAGCTGGATACTGGGTCAGTTGTTCCCAGTCTGTGCAAGAAAATTTTCCCTGGACCAAAAAGCATTTTCCTTAAAGCACCACTATATAAGAGAGGCCTGTAATGAAGGGAAGAGAAGGGGACCCAGGAATGAGCCTTGTGGAACACCAGTTACTAGCCTGTGTGGTTCAGACACAATCGTTTCCATGTCACTGGTAGGAGTGACTCATTAGGCAGGATGCAAACACAGAGAAAGCAAAGAGTCTTTCAACAATAATAAAAAATTAATAAATGTAAGAGTCAGTGTGGAGTCTGCATCTGTGCCAAACTGCAAAAGAATTATTTCACTTGTATTTATCTTGTAAAATAAGCACAATAAAACTATAACTTTAAAATTTCTGACACATACCAAGAGTGTGTGTGTGTGTCTGTCTACTAATTGAGAATAATTAGCAGTGTCAGAGCAAACATCAGTCTGCAGTCACAGTGTGGAGAGAGAGGGACTACAATGAGGAGTAATAATATTCTATTTGTCTATTCAAACTGTTATTACTTATAAAACTCTTCACGGGGATGGAAAAGCTAATATTTATGAGCCAGTTCATCAGCTGTACAAACAGCAGCACCAATAAACATGTCTGATTTTCACATCTCTTCAAATCTCATTGGTTTGTTTAGACCTCAAAATCACATCACACTCATGCTGTAATAACACATGGGTGTTATTCATTTCTTTGGCAGTATGGGTTACTCTGCTTTTTGTTTAGCTAATGCATGTGTGGACAGGCTGGCACAGAAGGAGCAGTCGAGTGCTGAAGTGACACCATTAGAACTAGGGACAGTGTGGTTTTCTCTCTCGCCCACCAGGGGACACCCCAACAAACTGCTTTTAAAGTTCTGAGCCATAAGATTAGCATTTTATCTCCTCAGATATCAGGCAGCTTTTCAGCGTTAGCCATTTGGTGTTTCTATATTCTGTAACTGGCTCCCTAGTTTTCCTCATTGCTTGTGGTGGCTGTGAAATTGAATACCTACACAAACAGTTCACAGGAAACTGCCATGTGCCACTGTTGGCTGAATTTAGGAACTTAGAAAGGGTAGAAATCCAGCCAACACAGATCAGACCATGCTGGTGAGCTGACAGGCAGCACTGTGGAGGTGTCTTGTTGGGCATGTCTGAAACCTTCTGATGAATCCTGCATATTTTAATTTTAGTCAAGAGGAGACATGCAGGGGTTTGAATGTTGAGGTTCATCTTCAGCTTTGCACCTGCAGGCTGGAGCAGGGATTCAGACTGACATGTTGTTTTGTTCACATTCCTGGCTTGCAGCCCTGGGCAGGTGTTCAGAGAACAAAATGCACTCAGAAGGAACTTGTGTCCTTAAACACCTTTGTTATCAAGTTGTAAAAAAAAAAAGTACAAGATCGCCACTATTTTCAAGACCAAGTACTTAAATTTGAGTGCTTACTGACCCTGAGTACTGATGCAACCATTTTTTCTATAAATATTACAGTTACCATAAAGTGCAGTGACATTAGAGACAGTTTTTGTTTTCATAATATTTGATTGTGATTAAATAAAATGTACAACAGGAGGTGGCTGCTAACAGCCAAAAATGTACATAAAACTCTCTGTGTAAACTAAGGTAACGTGACTTCCTCCTGGAAATGCCAGATTTAAGGAGTAAATAACATCACATCAATTTAAAATTTGAATTTAAAAAGGCGTAGGCATGTGCAGTGGCCATTTATCCTGTTATGTACCTGGAGTAGTAGCTGGTCTATGGGTTGTGGGATGGAAAACCACAAGCGACCGACATTTTACCGACACGAGGAGCTATGACAAAGTTAGAGTGATATTATTGTTGCAGCTGGCACCAGTAGACACTGCAGTGTGAGCTCATGGCTTCTGTCTCTCTCTTCTCCCTGCGCGTTTGGAGCAGATGAAGCTGCCAGTGCTGCTACTCGCCTACGGCCTGTTGAGTTCGTGGTGGCCATCGGCAGCCCGTTCTCCCTGCAGAACACCGTCACCACCGGTATCGTCAGCACCACCCAGAGGGGCGGCAAGGAGCTGGGTCTCCGTAACTCCGACATGGACTACATTCAGACCGACGCCATCATCAATGTGAGTGGTGACACAGACACAAAGAGTGAGACAGGCCCTGAGGGCAGAGGTCATGAGGCTTTTGTTCTTAAGTCTCCAGATCCTGCAGAACTGAACATGACACAGCAAACAGTGTTTCATGCTTACTTTAATCATAGCGTGCATGTGTTTGACTTCGTGTACAGTAAATAGATGAGTCGAAGCTGATCCGGTGATTGTCTGGCTGTTGAAAAAGACTGAGATTGAACCTAAAACATCTTTTTGATTACAAAACAATGGTGAGGTCCTGCGGAAGTAAGATGAGGGCATTGTAAACTGTTGATTTAATACACCGATGCCTCATTCTAACTGCACCAATCTTTATTTAGGAATTCTTTGAGTCAAACTAAGTGTGATTGTTTGTTTGTTTTCCTGCAGTACGGCAACTCAGGAGGGCCACTAGTCAATCTGGTAAGTGAAGGAGAACCTGCAGGCGGGTGAACATACGTTAGACATAGGTTAGTTTTTTTGCATTATAGACACCACATGTACAAATGCTTATTAAAATGTTGTAATGTTTTCTGACATTAGAGGTGTTCAATATGATAAAAGCATAATGATAATAAAAGTTTGTTTTAACCTATTTTCGCCTCCTGTTTGAGGAGCAGAACTTGGATGTTTTAGGGAGCTGGTGATGTTTGTCTCACGCTGAGATTCAAGTTAATTTAATTGTTATGTCACTGCCTTCTTTAAACTAGAAACAGAGCTTCTTACTGGGACCATATGCTGCCAAACAGAGACCTATGTAATCTCATATAAACAAACAGCAGGGCCCATAAAGTCCTTATTAGGAAAGGTAAATAAGGAGTTTAGGTCATGCTTGGCAAGTCGTCCACAGCCACAGCTGAGTCTGATCACAGGGTTGTTTTCGTCCGGCTGTGTTACTAAACGAGGAACAATGTGGCATCAAAAACAGTTTTAACAGGCTTCATGTAGAAATGCAACTTTTACTGTCAGACGAACGATGACATGTTTGTTTGTCCCGCAGGATGGAGAGGTGATTGGAATCAACACTCTGAAGGTCACGGCTGGAATCTCCTTCGCCATCCCCTCAGACAAGATCAAACAGTTTCTGGCTGAGTCGCACGATCGACAGGCCAAAGGTTCGCACCCATTTCACTTCATGTTCTGTCACTGTATCGCAGAGACAACAGCAGAGACAGGGAGGACGGGCCCTGATGTTATCAGTGTTCTCAGAGCTTGTAATATTCATAAACAGGAAGCAGGCAGGTGTGTTTTCTATTATTTTTAGAGAAAGATACACAATCAGTAGGATAAAACTTTCTTTCAGTATGGGTGATGCACAGAGTTTGTTGTTCACATATGAAACATTTAAGTGAACAAGTCCTTTATCTGTCTTTTCTCCTGCCACGCTGTGCGTTTTGCACCGAAACATGATCACTAAATGGCTAATATTTCGAACATTTCATATATAGTCTTGTGATCCCATGAGATGGATGGATCAAATATTTTGAATGACACAAAAACTATGATCTGCTGTGAAGTGAACAGTAGGAGGAGTGTTAGCAGGAAAACGTAACCTGCTTCATCAGGTGGTAAAATAGTTCCTGGTGCTTTATGTGTGTCTGCTTTCTCTACACTATCACACAGTTTATCAGTGTGCCAGTGTGTGTCTGAACAATTTCAGAATATTCTATTTTCTTAGCAGATGTTGTTTTCGGGACACAGACAAAGTTTCCAGGATGTTTTCAGGGGGCAGGACATGTCCACAGTACCTGGTCATAAAGGCTGTGGGTTTATCACTGCCTTCGATATCAGAGACTGTCCTTTTGTACTGCTGTTCACAAGACATGCACATCACATTAACTCCAAAATGCCAAATTGCATGAATTATCTGCAATGCAAAGCTGCTTTGGTAAAGTTGCGGTTATTGCCGCTTCTTCTCAGAACTCCTCTGTTGTGCTACTGATTAATAAGAATATAAATAGAGGAAAAGAAGAAGAAGATAAATCCTACATGGACTACGAGATTTAAAATCATCTAATCAAACCACATTTCATTTGTTCTCCAGGTAGAACGTCCCAGAAGAAGAAATACATTGGGGTTAGAATGATGAGTCTCACTTCACAGTAAGTTCCTGGTTTGATTACAAAGACAAACTTTACATTTTCACAATACTGTATGTAAATAGTGACTGTAAGTAGCAGGGTTGTACTCCACCTGAAAATAACGCCAGTTTGTGTTCTCATCAAATGCCAATGAAACACTGCAGATTCTGTCAAGTTCAGGGTGAGATCTGTTGAATAAGGTTTGGTTCAGATGTGTTCAGATATAATGAGTGTGTTACTACTTTACTGTAGTAACACACTCATTATATCCACATAGTCCTCACATTTAAAACACGTGGTGATGATCAACTGGACTGAGCACTGCTGCAGTGAGATGAGACGTCCTCCTTAATCTCCCCACATCCCTCAAATTTCCTGTAAATCACACTAGATTTTCATACATAACAAGGGAGGTGATCATATCTACAGAGTGACCTCAGCTTTGGAGACCTGAGCCAAATGACCAGTTAGAATAGGAATGTAAGTGGACTCAGGCCACAGGTCAGAGTACGCCCGGCGGACTCTCCACTTTGGGCCGGAGCAGGAAAGAACCCAAAGCACCAAAACAAGCTGTGCTTTATGAAAGCTCATAAATCTTAATCATGAGACTGAAGCTGATGGAACCTTTTTTCACATTTGGTTTTGTCAACATTATCATCACCTGCAGCTGCGAGCCGTGACTGTATTAAAACTTTGCTGCTGCATTAAGGGACTCTCCAACACTTACGCTCTCAATTTCTATGTTTGCTGACACCTTAGCTCATGGGTTTTGCCTAGTGATGCTCAGTTAGAGCCTCACTGAATGCACCAGCATGAAGTAAAGTGAAACCAGGGCCTGTCTGGAAGCTTGGGAATGAATTATTTAAATCTTTGCATAGGTATAGGTAAAGTTTTGTCTACGTTTAGCTTCTAGTGTGCGTCTGGAACTTGGTAGCTAACATTCAGAAGTATAACCTGATTTAAAAAGTACACGGTGACTGAACGATGCAGGCGTCCTGTGGATTCTTCGCCAACATCTGCTCCATTGAAGTTGCAACTTTTCAAAGTTTTAAATTTAAAGTTTTACCAGAGTGTCACCATTAATGAGAGCAGTGCTTTTCACGTTGGAAGTCTAAATGAGTCACAGTGTATCAAACCTCCAAGTATAATGAAAAACAGACTGCTGTGTTCAGAACCGTTAGAAGAAAATCTCACGTTTTGGCTGTCCCTCATCTTGTGCCCCGCCAGGCTGGCTAAGGAGCTGAAAGAGAGGCAGTCTGACTTTCCAGATGTCACCTCTGGGGCGTACGTCATTGAGGTCATCAGCCAGACTCCAGCTGAGGCGTGAGTGTCTTTTTCATCACTTCTTATTCCAACATTATCTGGTGTTCACTGCCCATTATATCAAATCAACAGCCTGTGTGAAACTCGGCACTGATCAGTCACTTGTTGGAGTTCACATTCTGTACTGAAGCTTGTCCCAAGTGAAACAGGCAGTGTTCATTTTGACACCTGAATTTGATTTTGTTTTTAGTCTTAGTCTTTTGATGAAAATGCATATTAGTTTTAGTCAGACTTTAGTCTTTGATTTTTTTAGTTTCAGTCAATAAAAACTAAATACATTTTAGTCTAGTTTCATCATTTTTATGCTGCATTTTTAATACTTACTGTCGGCTATATCTTCTTGATCCTGGTTGTGTACAGTTACCACGGTTACATATGTTGTTCCCGTCTGCCATGAGGTTTTATTCACACAGTGTCGCTCTGCTCTCCAGACGTTGGACTCACTCACATTTCACAGCTTGAGAGGTGACGCTAAATCGTCAGATAACATTAAAACTGTGAATCTCTGCAGCGAACATGTATGGTTGACTGTCCATATCAGTGACAACAGCACAACAGATACAGTATCTGACCAAAGGAGCGTTAATGTTACATCTACATCCACAGCGCTTCATGTTGAATTCTCCTCCTGTTCCATATGCTGTGCTGCTGTAGCTTCTTCGCAGTTTTTGTGCATAATTCTCTGGGTTTAGATGAATATGATTCATGACCTTGTTTGTTTGAGGAAGCGCTAACGCCAGAGACAGAACGTTACTGAATGTAAGACAGTGGTGAAACGCGTCAAGTGGCAAATTCAACTCCTGAACAAGATGTTTTGGCCTGTGGAGGAAACTGTTTCACTGATCAGGACCTACAGTTTGTGAATCCACAGATGATGCAGTTACTTCATGTCCTTTCACATTGTTTACTTTTTATTTACTGACAAAAAATGTAAAACATTTCATCATCGTTTATGCTACTTTTCACTTAGTTTTAGTTCCATTTTTGTCCTGAATATTTTTCATCCTAGTTTTCATTAACAAAATGAACAATGGAAATAGGTAGAGAAGTGCCCGCTGGTTGTTTGCAGACTCACTGCTGCTCGATATATTTTGCCTCTGGAAAGTTTTGGTATCCGTATGAAAAGCTTGTTGAGCGCAAACTGGAGCTTCCACCTGAGACAACAGCTGATAGCCTGTTTTGCTGTTGTCTGGTGAGTGTACGTGGAGCACAGGCAGGAGTCAGGATGAGGACCTGCTCTTGCTGATGTCTGTTAGATCTAAACTCGCTGTGGGTGAAGACTGCAGTGTATGGGAAGCTCACATATGGTTTTAAAGCTGTTTTGCTTTTGGAGCTGGGCTGAAAGTTGGCAGTGAAGACAGAATCGTGAATCGCCACCCAGACTGTCCACGTCCCTTCAAACTGCTTCAGTCACATTCAGAAACCAGCCAGTCAGTCAGGGCAGATTCTGATTCAGCTCGGGAAGTGAAGCCTCTGGCCTGACAGAACTAAAGACCAAACTGGCTTCCCTTCGTGAGTTGAACACTATGAGACCCAGCTAGTGAGGACTCAGGAAGTGTGTGCCTGTGCCAGGGGTGCACCGCCCTCTGCATTTGTTATGTTAACAAAGGAGCATGTTGAGAAATGATTCATGTGTCTGGATCTAGGTTTGCATGGTTGTTTGTTGTGGTCATAAAGTAGCTCATGAGACCAATGGAAAAAAGCCCAGTCACTAGTTCTTTAGTCCACAGCCTAACTTTACATTATATTTCACCTCATGGACTTATAAACCTAATTTAAAGCCCCTGAAAACTTGGCACCAAATCTCTAAAGTGCTTCTCTATTACATCAAATATTTATGACCAATAAAGTTAGAATTTTCAAGGACTAAAAACAAAAGTGGAATGAAGTATGTTCATGCATTTCCTCATGAAAGGATATAAAATTAGAAAAAATAATAAGAGCTAGAACCTCAGTAACTAAAAGACAAACACAAAATTGTGAACTATATTTTCATTTTATCCTGAAATCATGCATCAGATTCATGAGCCACATACAATCAAGAAGATTCAAAAAGAAAACAAACGTAAAAATGTTGTTGTGGGTATAATATGAGCTACACTGTGAAGACCAAAACATCCTTATATTCTAATGTATAACACTGCTTGTCTATGTTGACAACACGCAGCGTTTGATTGAAATTTATTACTAACATGTTTATTAGTTTTCTGGTCCCTAGTTGTTCAACAGTGCCTTAGAGGTACGTGTTGAGCCTTGGGGATGGAACTGGTTTCTGCAGCAGACTTGCAAAGTGTGCAGATACATGTCAGTTACAGTTGGTGCAAACCTCCATGAGGCAGTCGTTTAGAATCGCAATGATATTATTACAAGTTTAAAAATGATACAAGATAAATGATATTTCATCAGCATCCAGCACAGCAGCTGTTGAAGATATATCAAATCCACTGACACCAACTGAGTCAGCAGAGTTCCAGTTAGGTTTTGCTCTTAGTTGCACGTCTGTAGCATCATGTGTCGTCTCACAGGGGCCAGTTTTCCATGGGCCCTATTAATGTGAATATTTTGGATCAGCAGATGTGGAATATTACTTGGATCCAGATCAGACTTTGGTGTGTGGCAGTTCTCATGTAAAAGCTAATGTGCAATTTTTGTCCAAGCACTGTACTGTATATGGAGTTAGAATCAAGAATCCTGAAACTGGCCCTACGTCACAATGGTGAAAAATCATTTAAAACATTTCTGGATCTGGATGATGATCCGGATCAGCACCAAAATCTGATGGATTGTTCTGTGGGCCGTACCCTACCTCTCATCAAAATCCATTCTCAACTTTTAGCGTATTAATCAATAACCTTATCAACCCACCGTCTTGTGTCAGTTCTACCTAGTGGTCCTGTGCAGTCCCTCATGCTGAAGTAAATATTTTTTACATATTCATTATATTCATTAACCTTCACTTCTTTCTTGGTGGCAGTGCCGGCCTACAGGAGAGTGATGTCATCATCAGCATCAATGGCGAGCCAGTGGCCTCAGCCAGTGACGTCAGCGCTGCCATAAGACAGGGCGAGAAGCTGCGAACGGTGGTGAGGCGAGGAAATGAGGATGTCATCCTCACCATCATCCCTGAGGAGGTCGAGCCTTGACCTCGCAGCTCGCTGAACCACCAGTCAGCTCAACAGCCTGACCAGTCGACCAATCCCGAGCTGGCTCAGTGTTTTTCAACCAATTATGAACACTTTGAAAAACCAAGCAACCAATAAGGGCGTGTGTGTCTGGGGCCATACCTACTGCATTTAAGAACTTGTTTTAAGTTAAGTTTTAGTGCTACTATTCTGTTCTTGCTCACAGCTTCATAGGCCCAGCTCCAATACCCTGGGAGGTGAAGCCTCAACCCTGTTCTTGCACTGCTTATATTAGTTCACACTTTTCTCCTACTCTGTCTTTCCATCATCAGAGCCCTCGATATCCTACTAACACAGTCTGTCGCTACCTAGCGGTTCCTGCAAGTGACTGTGGTTTCGTTGTGTTCGTCATGTTCTTGATGGAATATTTTTAATAGTATTTTGGACTCTGTGTGTTTGATGACAATTTAAAAAAATGGAATAAAATTATTTTTAAAGGTGTTGTCTTTATTAATAGTGTTGATACTATTGGTTGATGTTCGATGTAAGAAAATGCACAAATCAGAGTTTTGTGTTGGCTTTGAATATTCTGCACGGTCTCATTTAAAATGGAAACTTCTCCATAACGGTGTCCAAAAATTGCACATAAGCAAACTTTTAAAATTCTATAACCTTAAATCTTTATACTCTAGTGTGACATAAGCTTTAAAGATGTTAAAGAAGAAGCTGAGCCTCAGCCTGGTGGCTCTGTTCACAGGGAGACAAACAGGTACAGAAAGAAGCCTTCGGCTTTCAGCCATTTTGTTCTCCGCTCTGTCCTCCCTCTGTGCAACGCTACACACTGAAACACCAAGTTCAGCACAGCATGACGTAATGTGGTGGCCACAGTATGTGCATGAAGGCCCAGTGGCGCGAAAGCGTTACATAACACTTGTCTTGGTTACCACAGGGAGGTGCTGATGTGTGCTCTGTGTGGGTTCACACATGAGGTCAGATGATGGAAGCCAACATGTGGGTTTGTAAAACTAGCACTGCCTTTAAATGTAATGAACACAATAATGCATCAGTAACTGTAATACATTAATAAGATATACACTAATTAATGTAATTTATTAATGCCATTTTACATAATGAGTCATTTTAGTACTCTACCTTTGACTTCCTTCAACCTTTTTCTCTACTTAGTCATTTGTGTGCACAAACTCCTGAATTCTCCTCTCAAATGACATTTGCAGAGTCTGATTGTTTTTGCCTTAAAAAATTATGATACTGACAAAGTCATACAAACTCGTTTAGGACAGAATCACTGGAAATGTTTAGTCTCTTGTTCCCTTTGATCATATGGAAACTGGAGCATATTCAGGCACCATTTTGCAGCTTAGCCATGCTGAGGAATTGTGTTATCCACCTGTGTGTGAGATTGGCTGAGGAGCTTACGCACACTGTAAAGTGCATTTACAATAAACCAGGCCTTCCCAAAAGCATGGGGCACCCTGCTGTGGTCCTCCACAGAGGGATTTCACTGGCCTTCATGGTTCTTCTCTGACCCATTTATGAATCGGCGTTACTGGAATCCCTGGCAACTAAGTTGATTTCAGTTTTCAGGAAACTCTTGAGCAACATTTTCCTCTAATTACCATCATCACCATGCCGATAAATCAGCACTGTCAACTCAAACTACTTTCTGACTCATATGTTTTAGTTAGGAAATACAGCTGTGGAGCCCAGAGAAACCAGACTGACCGCCAGAAGCTTCTACTCACTACCATAGTTATGTTACTACTGCTACATCTGATTTTTATGACTTTTTTAGCTTAAAATGTGGGTGGCATTTGTTTTCTTCACAATCTCACATCACTGGCTGCGCTGTCCTCCAGCTCCATGTTCTGGGTTAACGCCTTCCTCAACAGAAAAATCTTTTTCTTCTTTACTCATTGTTTTCAAAGTCATGTAATTTCTGTTGCACACACATTTCTGTTTTAAGAGCTGTAGAGTCAACAGTTCCCCAAAAAGAGTATAAATATCTTTTTATTTGCTATTTGTCAGTAGTTATAAAAACCATCCACATCACAGGTCAAAACAGTCATTATATAGTTTTCACAGGCAGATCAGCTTTATGTTACAGATGAAAACTACTTAAAACATTACAGTGTCATGTATAAGTACATTGTAATCAGTCACACTCCTGCATCAGGAGTACACAAGTGTCAAACCAAACTGAACAGAACCAAAAGTGCTGTTACAGTAAACACGGCGAGTAACTGTTAGTCAGGAGACGGACAATGTCTCGACCATCATCTAGATCATGAAACCAAGAAGTTGCAGTGTTTACGTGCACATTTTAATGCGAATACACGAGTGTTCTGCTGGTATTGGTTAAAACCTATTGACAATATTCTTAAGAAAATCTATTCACTGCAATAATTTAAAGCTTCTCCTGTGTTTCTCTGCACCTGGGCTGTAATGCTGTGGTTTATAAGTTCCCCGAATACACGAGTGTTCTGCTGGTATTGAATTTAAGCCAGTATTATGTTAAAACCTATTGACAATATCCTTTCTCTGCACCTGGGCTGTAACGCTGTGGTTTATAAGTTCCTGTTTCTGGCCCATGGATCTCTGTAGTTATAACCTTTGTGTTTCTCTAGTTGAAACACTGACATCCTGTTCACTGGCTGATGAGAGTCCTACCGTACACCCACAACATTCAGCTGTAAAGTGGTGTTGCATTCACTAGCTTGTTTTTAACCAGCGATAAAGATCAACAGAAACTGTTACAGAGGCTGCATCTTAAACAGCTGGAGAACTGAGTGTTGGTGACAGTTTTCCACCCACGGAGACACTTCTGGTTTAACACAGCTATATTGATTATATCAATTATTGTATTAATTGTGCCCATGTTTCCCATTTCAGCCTTCTTCCTATTGCTGTATCTCTGTTCTTCTACACATGGGCAGCAAGGCCTCCAGGTTACACGTTAGTCTTTTAGCGGTCCTGAACTCAGTGCATGGCTGGTGTTCGTGCAGTCTGCTCCGACAGTCCGGTGGATGCCGCTCCTACCGGTGAGCTGCCGGCTGCTCCCTGGTTAAGGGCCACCACCGGGAAGACACTCAGCAGGGCCTTCTCCAGCCTCTGCTCCAGAGCGTCCAGGCGACGGTCCACGTGCTCCTTCAGCCTCCTCTCCATCTCCTCCAGACGGCGCTCCATGGCTGGGTCCAGCTCCCTGTGGAGTTGAGGGACAACATCAGGACATCATTTGTGTCCCAATTCCAATTCTTCCTCCACCCCATGTTTTCTTCAGATCTGCCATTTCTGGCCATTTCCACATCCAGCCTCCAGTTGTCTCTGGGCTTTCCCTTTAGCTCTGCCCTATTTCACACACACTGCCTCTCCACAGGTGTGTTCACTTACTTTGATAGGCCATTCAGAACCAGCCTGGTTCCTCTGTCTGTTGTGTTCTAGCCTGTGGGCTCTTCAGCCTCACCAATCTAGCCCCAGAGTCACCTGCTGGTTTGGGGCTGTTTGTTTGCTGGGTTCAGCCTCTCGTCAGCCTGGACTACAGTAAGACACCTTTGTTCTTTGTGTTGTAGTGTACTGCTGAAACTCTACCTGTCTGTGTCTGCATTTGGCTCCTCATTCTCTGCTTGGTGTTTTGAACACAGATTATTAGAATTTATTTAAAGCAGAGTGCCCACAGAGTAAAGGTTGAGTTCCAAAGTGAGGAAATGACACTTTGATGCTATGAAAACTGCATTAAAATGTACACCACTACCTATTATCACATTTTCCACCAGAACTGGATCACACTATTTATGCTTACTGTGATAATAACCTGCACAATGAAAACTTTTTTAAGGCGAGACGGGAGGTGAGCTGTGACCAGCTCATGAACATGAAGCCACATCAGCAAGTAAACCGTGAACATAAACACAGACGGTGAAACTACATGGCTCACAGTCGGTGCTGACCATCACCTTCCTCTAACCTCCACATCCTGCTGTGTGCATCGATCTCAGGCACATTCCTTTCCGTATGAAGCTCTCAGACAGCACAGTTTAGCTGTGATTCATCCTAACCATCTCCTCCTTTTCCCTGTCTAAGCTTCTCAAACATTTCCAGGCTTTTTGCATGTCTTGGCATTTTTTGGGGTTTCTCAGCAGATTCCAACAGCATTACCCTTCAAAGATCTCCAAACAGCCTCAGTTCTTGCTCACGCCAACCTCACTGCTCCAGCAGCTTCAGTAACTGTGCTGAGTCTTTGCCACTGTGGCTTCTCTCCACCACTGTTCACCCCTGACCCTTCCTTCCTGTCTGCTCAGCAATTTTTACTTTATCCTGGTGCTAGAGGGTAATTCCCCTGTGTTATAAAACAGCAGTTAAGTGATGTAGCCTGAACATCTAGTCCTGTCGTGGTTATTAGGGTAACTTTCTGTGCAAACGATAAGAATTATTCATCAGGATTTGGTAAGAAATTCATTGTACAAGTATCAGAAGGAGGACAAACAACTTCAGAAAATGCAGTAGCTGCCTCAGTCCCCCAGAATGCCATGCAGGTACAAGACAGGTTGGAAATTTAAGCTGTCACAGCTTCTCAATGAATAAAAGTGGCACAACTGAAAAAAGCACTCTGGTAAATGTAGGAGATTCAAAATCTTTAGGTAATGATAGTTTACAAGAAAAACTATGAAACATTAAGTACAACTCTTAACAAGAACAAATACCAGTAACAATTCTTTAACATTTCACTAGTGCTAACAGTTATTAGCATCTTTAAACCAGGCAACCACTCATGTCTCACAATTTCCTTTAAAAACCAAAAAAGATGATTGAATTTTGTGATGCCAGTTACTTTCTCAGAGTAGCGTACAGTATTTTTAAACTCTTTAAGTAAGTAGCCTGTGGTAACTAGGCTAATGTGTTGTGGTGCAGACGTACCGCTGAGCTGCTGTCCTCCTCTCTATATGGAGTCAGACTCGGCTGACCTTCTCTCTCCACCCACATGTGCCGCTCTGCTCTGACAAAGAGCCTTGTGTAACCAAACTGCAGTTTGTGGCACCGCTCGATAAAGAAACTGCCAGTTTTAAAAGTGAATTAGCTGATACTGAGCATTTGCATCAGCGCTGGTGAAAAAAATGACACTTCAGTTTGGTTTGGTGCAGTTTGCCAACATTTTAATGATCCACACATACAGCGATGTTGGTAAATGAAATCTGTTGCCTCTGTATCGGCCTCCTATCTGCACTGTCGACAACCACTGGCCTAACCCAGGTCCTTCTATGTGGTGGTGTCCAGAAAAAAAAAAACTTGACAGCTTCAGTGATTATTTTCAAAAGGTCCCATTACCAGTGTGGAGTTTTGCCTGAACACACGCCATCAGATATATGATGTACTGTATGTTGCCTGGCAGCTTTGACATCAGTGAATATTTGACCATAAAGAGGTGGGAAATGTTTGGGCGTCTGCTGACTCTCAGCAGCTCAACACTTCAGCTAACAATGTGACATCAGACAACCAATCCTATTGTCCTATGAATACATGAGTCTTTGTTTGTCCCGACACTCTGCCGCTCAGTAATGTGACTGAGGCTCAAAAACTGAAACGCAGCCATTTCTACTATAGTACCTTCCATTTAATCACGAGCTATCAAGCATGTATGTGGGAACATACAAACACTTCATTCAGTAACCATCTAAAGGCCCCTAGTATGACTGTACACTCACATGGCACCTGCTCGCCGTGTGTGGAACAGGTGCGATGCCTGAACAAATGCACATTGCAGCGTTGCCTCAGACTCCTGATGGTGCTGTGAGCAAACACTATGTTTAATGACTCTTCCACCAAATGGAGGAGTTTGTGAGCCCTGGTGGGGGCAGCTGCAACTGAAATGGTCAAGATATTTTCACATGACATTTCTGTACTGAAGGCAACTGACACTGTTCCCAGTTTAACAGCAATTTTACTTTACAAGACTAGGATTAAATGGTATAAGTTTGAAACTTTTCTATTTTCTAAATTCATCATTATGCTCCTCTAATACCCAAAATAACTGATTATTACAGTATAATACTATCCTATCCTAGTTACTATTATGTAATAGTAGTGGTCTAGTAGTAGTTTATATTATTATTGCTAGTATATTTTAGTGTTATTAATGTTTAAAAATAGGTTTTATCTTGCATGTTGTGTAGCCTTGGCTTGCTGAGTGTTTGTCTGCAGAAACCAAGTAGTTATATCTCTGGACACAAGGCGGAGCCACTCTGCCAACATGGAGCTTCATCTTGATGTAGATTCACAGGTTCGGGTGATGCACAGATATAAAATGGCTTAGGGTTCCCTCACTAATTAGAACAAGAAGCACCTACATTTGTCTTGTACTGTCTCAGTATAGCAGTAGTGACTCCTATTTAGTACAAACATTTCATCCAAAAAGCCAAACACTGTTGAACTACACTGTCAAACAGGACACACTCACTTAACTCCACTCACCATGTGCCATTTCTCATCTTCTCCTTCTCTGCTGCCGCTGTAGCATCATCCAGTCTCAGCTGTGTCACCTGACCGCAGACGCTCTGGAGCATGGGCAGGAGCTCAGGGTTAGAGCTTAACACCTGGCTATGACCCTCCCCTTTCAGGAAGTGCGACATCATCTCCACCAGCTGGGCATGCCTCACCGGGCCTCTGCTATCGCTGCTTTCTAGAGGTGCGAGACAGAAATACTGATACACACATCACAAATATTCTCGTCCCTTGTACAATGGCATTTCCTCCAGACTGTAATTTTAAACAAAGGGAAAAGTCTCAGCAGAAAGGGGAAGTACTTTTTCCTGATTTAGCCCCTTTACTGCTCACATGTTCACCAGGCAGATGTAACGATCCTTACCTGTGTCTGGGGAGGAGGGGCTCGAGCTGTCTGACACTGCTCCGTTCTGAGCCAGGGGAACTTCACCTGCGGGCCTGACGGAGCCGCCTGGAGGCTAACCAAGAAAAGAGACTCACTGAAAATATCAGCAACACAGTATGAGTAAGCATTTTCTGCACCCACATTTCACTGGCATCAAACTGATAGTGGACATGTTAATAAGGTGTTTTATATTTAGCAGAAAATCACTCTGGTACAGCTTTGGCTTCAAATGTGAGCTGCTGTTCAGAGACTCCCCTCTAAGGTAAATTATGGGGTTATCTGTTGGTGTTGTGCTGTAATTAAAAAGAGCATCAGGAGGAGCAGTAGATGCGGAACCTCCGCAGCTGTACTCTGGATTATCTCCTTATCTTGTGACAGGCTGCTCAGTCTCACGCTCCAGTCAACACCAAGGAGACCAGTTTACATGTCCACTGTTACTTGTCAATCCAGCCCTTGTTGTCACTTTACATGTTTGATGGATTCTTTGTTTGACTTTCATGATTTAGTCACAGTGTTTACATTCAAACCAGTAAATGATCAATGGCATTCAGAATCATCTCTTAGCATCTTGTTAACCAATGTTAAAATGTAACTGCTTGATGTTTTATCAGGTACTGAGGGATTACATCTTCTGTGGGGTGTAAAGAAAAGCAAATATAATTGATACCATGGAGTTTGCAGACTGGCTGCTGACGGCTGTTGGGGAGGTGTTGCCGTCTCTAATCAGGGCAGAGAAAGCTCCATTGCCCATCAGGAGAGGGAGGAAACCGCCAAGGGAGGTGCTCTGGTTCTGCTGAGAAACATATAGCGATATGTTGTTGTGCAGTTGCCCATTTCATTCTCTGTTGTGGGTTCATTTTTATTGTCTGCACACCGAATGAAGGTGGCAGTTACTGTTGATTTCCAGGATACATCGGTCTACATTTAAATCAGCTGCCAAAAAGAATGAGATTGTCAGCCTATACTGAAACACAGAAATTCAAATCTAGAAGACAAACTCTAAGAAAGCAGTTCATTTAATAAAAGATTGCTGTTCAACAGGCAAGTAACTCCCACATTTCCAATGTCAGAACACTGATAAACACTTTTTTGAGGGAGAGCTTTCAAAAGTAACCCTGATTCAAGTTTTTTTTTTCTCTTATAAGGATAATTACCTTTATTGGCCAAGTATGTTACACACAAGGAATTAGTTTCCAGTATAGAACCAATGGCAGCCATCTGCGGTGCCAACTCAACTGATGGCTCTAACCATCGGGGGCGCTGGGGTTCAGTGTCTTGCCCAAGGACACTTCGACATGTGGACTGTAGGCACAGAGACTTGAACCTTCAACCTTCGGGTTGGGAGACGACTGCTCTACCCACCTTCATAGTGAGCTGGACTGAGGTTAAGCTAAAGTTTGCCTGAAAGTGGGTATGGCACACTGTGGAAAATGATCATGAGCTTGCTGCTGAAACACAACGACATGAGGTCGGTAAAAGTAATAACTTGCTCCTTTACTAACACCTTCTGTTGGAAGTGGACCATGTCCATGAGGTTCTGGGCTCCTGGCGAGAGGTTCATCCCCATCTGCTCAACCAGACACTGTACTTGTTCCATGTCGATGCCAGGGCCACGAGTCGGGGAGGGCTGGTGCAACTGAAGACCCACAACAACTCGACACACCAAAACACTGCTTCGACTATCCAGGGAGAGCAGCTAAGAGACCAACGAGAGGGAGACAGAACCAGGTGGTTCAAGTAAACTCAGCACAGTCAAATACAAATATCACTAACTGGATTAAAAAAAAAACCCTCTGTCCAAGATACTTGGATGAATGTCCAGTGTCATGACCAAATACGTATCTCAGCTGTTTATAGATGTGAAGACTGAAACATGCAAGTAGAAGTCTGAAGCCTAAATCTCACCCTGATATCACAGCTGATATCATTGTCTTTGTGTTGGGACTGAGCTCGGACTGAGCTCTGGCCCTGAATGTAGCTCACCTTCACTTCGCAGGCTGACAACGGATGCTCTAGGATCAGTTGGTTCCTGTAGAGAGGCCCTCTGTCTTCACTGTGAGCAGAAAACAAAGGAGACGCTGTTTCAACATCCCATCAGACATTACTCAGACTTGATCAGAACTCCTTTGTTTTTGTTTTTTGTTGTTTTTTTTACATAGCCTCATGTTTGTGTTCAACATCTGACACTCCTGAGTGATGGACGCTAAGGGAAGAGAGCATGACTAAATTCAAACTCACATTGTAGGCTGGATCCCTGACTTTACTGATGAACCTAAATCAATATTTTTATTGTCAATTCACTATATGTGCAGGACATACAGAAAATCGAAATACCATTTCTCTCTCACCTAGTATTGAATGCCATACCATTTAGGAAACTAAAATGGAATAAAAGTAGAGTAAAAATAGACTAAAAAGAATAAGAAACCTAAGTCAGTGATTAGAATAAAGCTAAACGGTACAACCTAATAGGCTATGACTCAAACCTTGTACAATCAGTGACAGTAATGCAAATAATAACAAGAAGATTGTCAGATGGTGTCAGATCTGCACATGGACAGTAGTGCAGATGACCAGCAGCAGATGTGATGGTAAAAACAGTCAGCAGCAGATTTATATATAATATAACAAGCCTGGAAGATGAAGCTGTTTGTAAGTCTGGGAGTGCTGCTGTTTTAGCTTCATACAATAGCCAAGATATTAACAGTATATACTTGAAATGTTCAAAAATCTGCACCATCAGTTCCTGTCCTGCTTTGTCTGTGGAACAGTTGCATGCATGGCAAGTCCAACCCAGGTCATCCTGACAGGTGCCACAGGATGCCAAGTTAATTTAGTGAACCTAGTCTAAATTTAAGTACAGTACTGCCTAAAAATGTTAATTTTCATAGCTGATGTAATGCTCAGGGAACCTAGGTGATTACTTCTCCTCTCCTTTTAACTTAACAGAGGTCCCAATTTAAAAGCTAAGATTTAATAGTCTGAACTAGCTATGCTGATAACTCGCACTTAAAACAGATCAACACCAATAGAACTGAGAGCTTATGTATTATATACTGAAACCCCTGCTGTTGAAAACTGGGTGTGTGTGTACCGCTCTGGCTGGATGCTGTCATCCCTCTCCCCCCTTACTGTCCCACAGTATTCTCCCGTCTGGTCATACACCTCTATGGTTCGAGCCCCGCTGATGACCAGTAAGCGACTGATGGCAGCTGGGGAGCTGGGGCTGCAGCGGAGTGTCAGGATGCAAGGAGACCCTTCCTCCATCTGTTCCAGCAGCACTGGGCTTCCCATGTGAGGAACAGAAAAGAGATGTCATTCACTCAAAAATGGAAACTTTCCCCTTGTAGAAACTGTGGCGAGGCCTATTTGCCCATGATGTACATACACTTAGTTCACACTCTAGTAACATCTAAAATACTAAAACTTGGCAATGGTGCTACTTACCCATTTGTCTCACCTCCCTCTACACGACTAAGCTCCTCTTCACCGTCTTTGTTACTGATGTGAACAGGGAGCAGCACATCAGCTAGGTGGCATCCCGGTGCACACACCCAGGCTGCTCCGCTTTTCACAGCGATGTCCACCATGGTGCTGCTGAGGCCACAGGAACTGTGGACCTACTAGGACACAGGAAAGACTTTTTTTTTTTAACTGAACACTTGTATTTACAACAGAAGTGGCAAACATTAATATTCCATAACATTAATATAAAACAGGTGCAATAACAAAGAACAGAACAAGAGAGGAAGGAGAGAAAGATATAAATAAATAAATACATAAATAAAATAAGGTTAGAATAAAAAAAGGGAAGAAGTAGTACAAATAATACTAGATAAAATAAAATTAAAGTGAAAAGTCATGTTAAAAAATTAGGGCTTTGATATTAAATTATACTCTTCAATTAAATTAAAAAATATTGTAGCATTTTTGGTTTTCATTAGACTTAGGGCTTTGACAAAAACAAGAAACTCATTGAGAAATATATAGAAACGAGGTACAATTTTCATATACTTAGATTTATGTATATGGAATTTCCCAAAAATGATGTTGATCAGAAAGGCAGCGTTGACATTGTCCATCAGGAGACCATAAGTAATGTCTTTTTGGGTGAAGTCATTTAGGAGGTGAATCTTTGATTGGGGTCAAACAAAAACCTCATGCCAAAAGTTCTTCACAAACGTACATTGGAAAAAAAGATGTTCTGTATTTTCATCTCCGTGACAAAATACAGTTATTGGATTCAATACCAAATCGATGTCTCAAAAAAGCACTGGATGAATATATACCATTCAAGGTTTTAAAATGAAGCGCTTTGGCTTTCGGAGCAATAGAAATGCACAGTATATGAGAAATAATTTGACAGTTATATCATGTGGGGATGTTTTGCCTAGTACCAATACATTTTTATTAGCGTCTGTAAATGTCTTTCAATGTAAACTGGTACATTAGCAGCAACTGAGCATAATGTATATACAGTGCCTTGATAACATCGAGTCATAATGTTCACATTTACCTTTAAATTGTGTCAACTCAAACCGGCGATTATCCTGTTTCCATCAGATTTCTGAATGCTCTTCGCATTTCTTCAGGAGTGTTTGAAACAGTAACACAGAATCTGACTAGGACTAATAAACGATGAAACAGTGACTAGCTAGCGCTTTTTGGCAAAGTAGTGTTAAATCCACTGCGTCGGGCTACAGCTACTGGGAGTTGTGACGTCATAAACGGCGACGGAAATCTTAATCTGCCAGAAGTTTGTACTAGCCGTCTAGTAAAACTACTACGCTATTTTTCATGAAAACTAGTTGTAGTTTTGTGTAAATGCATGGTACAGTACATAGTACTGCGAAATGTAATTGACAAATTTTATCCTGATTTGTGGACGTTAGCAAAATGGTATACCCATTGAAAACATGAGTGAAACGCTTTAGCTTGGCGGCTAATTGTATGTTGATGTTTCACTTTCGGTTGGGGTTTGTCTTCAGTTCACGGTGCTCTGGCTAACTGGTAGGCTAATAATGGCGTGATATTTGTTTATGGAGCAGAGGATGCACTTTACAGAGTGCTACCCAGACACCGTCTCGAGTGTTGCCGCTGCGGTTCGTTCGGGCAGTAGGAAGCAGCTGAGGAGGCTGATAAAGAGAGGGCGCAGTGTGGAATGTCGGGACAACCGTGGCTGGAGTGCCCTGCACGAAGCGGCGGCCGCTGGCAGCACAGAGTGTGTGCAGGAGCTTCTGTCCGCTGTCGGCGGTAAAATAAAAAAAGGTTTCATACAACTCAGGATTGTAGTTCTGTTTTTTTCTCTTAGTAAAAGATGACCGGCCTCTTTATGGTATATCACACATTTCTCATTGCTCATTTTCCAGGATTACTGCCTTCAAATTCTGTAATTTAATACTGGCTAATATGTTGATAGTTTTTCATTTGCTCATTTAGATTTATAAACCGTAAATAAATTCTCCAGAAGTACAACATTACATTTTCTGTGTGCTGCAATTACTGTTTGCAATAAATGATTATTGTAATTATTAACAGTTTTCCATAAAAAGCACAAAAGTAATCCTCACTTTTGGCGTAGGTATGGCGATGGGTTAAATACCTTGTTTGTCTAGCCAACAGTCTGAAACCCAGATGCATTTGATTCAAGATGAAAAAAAAAACAGAGAACAGCACCACATCCTGAACTGGACCCACTGTCCAGAGATGTGGAAGATGAAAAAGCAAATCCTCACATTTGAGGAAATGGGATCAGAAAAAGTTTTGACTTCTGATTTATTTCCTGTGGTCAACAAATTGATTAATGGTTTAATCCTTGGATCTGATGTTTATCAAGTTTTCAATGAAGTCACATACATTTCAGGTATAGCCAACTTGTTTTTCCTTCTCCTGCTCTGGCTGTAAACAGCAGGCTCCTCCCGAGGTAGTCGAGCCTATGTGAACTCTTTGACACATGAGGGGGAATCTGCATGTCACCTGGCAGCTCAACGCGGACACCTGGCAGTGGTCCAGCTCCTCCTGGAAGCACATGCCAACATTGACCAGCTAACTAATGACTTGTCCTGCCCTTTGTATGCAGGTACAACACTTGCACATCATCAAACCGGTGTTCTGTACTGTTATCACCCTTGTATATATCTGTGAGCAAAGAATTTCCTTGTTTGGATAGTAAAGCGAATTTGATAAATTCTGTCTGCATTTATCAGCTGTTAATTGTTTCCACCAGCTGTAGACGGCGGACACAAGGAGGTTGTAGAGCTGCTGGTCTGTGAAGGTGCAGAGGTCAACAGAACACACACCGCATCCTGCTGGACCTGTCTTCATCAAGCTGTGTATAAGGTGGTAAAAAATTTCACAAACACAGGTCTGAGGTGACTCCAGACTAGTGATAAACTTGCTCTTTTGCTTCTTAAGGGTCACAGTGAGATTGTGCGAATACTCATTAATGTGTGCAACCTGGAGGCAGTAGATGATCACAGGATCACCCCTCTCTTTCTGGCTGCACAGTATGGACAGCAGGAGTGCCTGGAAATCCTTGTTAATGCAGGTGATGAGCTGTTTCTCTTTGTTTGTGTGAGCTTTTTTTTTTTTTTATAGCCTATGATTCTTTTGTCCCAGCTACTCTCTGCTTCTTCTCCTCAGTCTTCTCTTAAACCAGTAATGGAGTAAAATAACAGTTAATGAGTTGTTTTCACTCCAGGTGCCAACGTGAACACTCAGGCAGCAGATCTGGCCACACCACTGCTGATTGCCTCTCAGGAGGGCCACCAAGCATGTGTGGATTTCCTGTTGGACCACGGGGCAGATCCTAACAAAGCCTGCAGTCTGGACTGGCCCCAGCTTCCCATTCATGCTGCTGCTGAGTTTGGCCACATTGGGTACTGACTTATAACTTGTCTTTGACAATGTGCATTGATTCCTAATCTTTTTAGTGTGTGTGTGTGTGTGTGTGTGTGTGTGGTGGAAAATATGTCACAATACGCTGGATCACATTCACACCATGTTTGTCTAGTTGAAGTAACTCAGTCAGGTTCTGATGATTTGATGCGTTATGTTCAAATGTTGTTTCACTCTGTGCAGACTGATGTGCTCACCGGGGAAAGTAAGGTGCTTTGTCCTTTCTGCAGAAGCAAGACAAATGTAACAAATAGATAATAAAGCAGAGGCAGTTTGTTTCTCACGGGATGTGGTTCTGGTGAGATATTAACTCAAGGGCAAAGATTATAAATTGTGCAAAATTACTATTTTTGTTGTGCCTCCTGTATTTTGAGGCAGCATAGGGAATTGAATGGATCATGCCAGAAACAAGGATATATTGTTTTGATATGGAGGATGAATGTGAGCTTTCACTGAAAGGAACGCCAAAGGCAGATAACAGCAGCAAGTGCATCTAAGTGTGGGAGGAATAAAGAGGCGAGTTGCACTCAGTAGGACTCTTTCTCTGTATCATGTGATGTGCATAAGCAGTAAATACTGATCAGTAGTGAGACTCTTGGTATGAATCCTCTGGCTGTTGGTCGGCTCGAGAATTGCCTCGACAGTGTGATTCAGCTGATAGTTACAGAATCCACCCATTAAGGCTACAACTATTGATTATGTTCATAATCGATGAATCTGTCATGTTTTCCTATAATCAATGCATCGTTTAGTCTGTAAAATGTCAATATTCAGTACAGATTGACACCTTCAGATTGTTTTCCACCATCAACATAATCAAAGAGATTTAGTTTACATTTTGATATAAAACAGGGTGGCATGGTGGAGCAGTGGTTAGCACTGTTGCCTCATAGCAAGAAGGTTCCGGGTTCGAGTCCTGGCCGACCCAGGGCCTTTCTGTGCCTGTGCTAAGTCCTACACAGAGCAGCAGTCCAGTGTGCTACAACCATGTAAGGAGAGCACTATAGAGGCACTAGAGACGGAATGGAAAAATACTCTGGTCTGATGTATTACAAAACTTTAATGAGGAGACATGTTAGGCAGGGGGCGCAGGTCCAGGTAGACTTCCTTGGACATTTCCCACCCACACAGCCTACCTGAAAGGGGTATGGAGACTGTTGTTTAACAGACCAGCAAGTGTGTTAAAATGATTTTATTTAACGTGCACATCTAATTTTGATGTCACAGTTGCACAGCCGACAATCCCTCGATCTATGGTGCCCCCCAATGGCCTCCCAAATCCAAGGTTGGGAACCATAGCTCTATGCAACTGTGGCCATACTTATGAACTTAAACCTCTCTAATTGTGTCAATCCAGTATCCTCAGGAGGCTGATAGCTGTAACAGACCGTAAGTGTGACCGGGGTGATGGCATGGTGAGTCCATTGTATATGACCGTCAAAAACAATCACATCAAGTGTGTTGAGCTGCTCTTAAAGGAAGGCTATAGCCCGGATGCCCAGGACTGCACACACATACTGGGCCTTAGTTCACCACTCTCCTTAAGCAACAGAACATACAGGTTTGTAAGATCTGACGACCTCACACACTCCAAGAACATACACAAAAACAGATGGGGTTGTCCCTGATTTCAATTTAAACCTTTTACAGCGAGTCGGTGAGGTTGCTGATAGAAGCAGGAGCAACTCTGAGTGAGGACAACTGGATGCATGCCTTCATTACTGGGGAAAGGGACATGCTGCCACACATACTTGAGCACAGATGGATTCCTCGACAAGAGGTTTATACCATGGGATTTTCTTCCCCACACAATCATGGGAAAATTGAGTTAACACAGTTTGAACTAAGAGACCTGCTATGTGCAGTACTATCCCAAGCACAGTTTGCTGCCAGCTGGCTTCCTCTGCTTATGAAGGCAGGACTGGAGCCATCTCTATTGATGCAGTCTCGGATGTAAGCTGCCAGTTTACTTTACATAGGTTCTCCACTCAGTTTTTCACACTCTTTGGTCAGTTATCAGCAGGCTGTGTTTGATCAATTTCTGTATGTTTTCTAGGTTGGAAGAGTCAAAGGGTGATGTGCTGAATTATCTGCTGGAGTTTGTAAACTGGTCAACCCTGTCTTCCTCTTTAAAACATATTCTGGATCAAAGGCGGGCGGAAAAGACTTGGGAACCATGTCCACGTTTTGGTACAGTGACAAAATATACACTGCACATTTGCTTCTACTAATCTGTGATGTTACTTTGAATAATGGCAGTGGTTTATTCTCTCTTTGACTCCCTCTAGACAACATTCCCCCTCTTTCCCACATATGCAGGCTGCAGGTTAGGTCAGTGTTGGGACCAGATCTAGTGATGAGGACAAATGTAGTCGAGCAGCTCCCAGTACCCTCGCCACTTCATGACTTTCTGAAGTTCAGGGACATCCCAGAACCTCCTGTACAGACTCGCCACCATCTGGATGTTGACGTTGTATAGCGAGACACCAGAGTACACCTTAACTAAAATGTTCTATATAACTTTTTCCAGATTTCCTTTTATGTCGCATTAAGGCTGTTGAAATGACCTTGTTTCACAATGGTTGACAGTGTCTCATGCAGTGCTGTGCAAAAGTAAAGTGAGGATACTTATGTGCTTTACGAAAATAAAAAAGTACTTGTAAAAATATATGTTCATATACACAGTTTAGATGGAAATTTCTAGATCTATACAAAGGTACTGAGGGTGGTTCTGTTGCACTGTCATGGGTTAAGTGTTCATCAGTGTGGTAATTTTGGAGTTTGGGATCGCAAGAATTTTAGATGTGCATTCTGCAGAATTTAAAATAGTTGAATTAGACAGATCAGTTTAACAAAAACTTAGATGACCTTATGATACTGCATCTGTTATTTTTCCAACGTGTTTTTATTTGTATTATAGTCATTCTGTTTGTAGTCACATTTTTGCAGGACTGGTATTATATGACGTACTATTTTGTTTAATAAAGGTGATTTATCAGTTATAAGTGGTGTTCGCTCAGTCTTTATATTTGTATGTTGGTGTTTGTATTTTCAGATTACAAATCAACTTGTTCGCTCCCCGATTGGCGGAAACTAATAATCCAGTTAACATCTGATTGGTCAGCGTCACACATCCTGGGAACTGTATTTGACAGAAGGAAGTAGTGACGTTAAAAGGAAAAAAAAATAAAACAAGGCGCTGGCATCCCAAGGGCTTAGTTGACTTAAAATAACATCTGTAATGTAAGGCCCTTAAATCACAAGCTGAGGAAAGATATGCTTTAATGTATTTCATACGTGAGTATGTCAAATGTTTGTTTTTCTCTGCTTACGGTATCTATTTTCCCGGGAATAGCCGCTGTGTTGTTGTACCTAGCTAGCTTGATTATGTCGCTTAGGCAGACACACCTGGTGTTGTGTAGAAACGGAACGTTTCTGTTCCTTATTTTGTACACAGCCTTGCCTATATAGCAAGCGTTTGCATCAACACAATGCTTCCTGAATGCAAAAAGTGATAGCATAGTGAAATGTCAGGCGTGTCAACAGAACGCGTAGCAGGTTAGCATTAGTTTACAAGCTAATTATTCATGACAACCATATAAATGTTGATTTGACAGGTATGCTATGGTTTATTTAGTTTCATTTAGATTTCTTTTACGAAGAAACGAGAATGGCGACCGTGTAGTTGTGAACAGTGCTGCCGTGTTCCAATCAGGGAAGCACAATAGGGGGGTGGAGAAGGAAACGCTGCAGCTTGATGAAACGAGAAGGAGTGGAGTTGAGGTAGTTGTAAAGCTGCTGAGACATCCAGTTCAACAGCCTGTTGGGTATAGGTGCTAGTAAAGGAAACAAATGTGTAGCACATTTTGCACCATCAAGCAGTGAAAAAAACACTGTGCATCACGTTTTGGACGTTTATTTTGGTGTTTACAATACAAACATATTCTATACCTGTATTGATGAGGCTTGATTGCATTTCTGTAGATAAAACAACCAAAGCAATGGTTAAAGTGTTTAGTTTTGTAGCATATTATATGAATCATATTGCATGTTGTATATTAGTGCTGCAACTAATGAGTATTTTCATTATTTTACTGTTAATCATTTGTGAAATAGTGAAAAACATGCATCATAAGCTTTACCACCCAAGTTTACATATTCAGATTACTTTTTTTGACTAACAATCCAGAGCCCTACAATAGTTTAACAAAGGGACAAACAGTTTAACAAAGGTATGCCAAAAAAAAAATTCTAATATTTGAGACACTGGAACCAGCAAGTGAAATGACAGAGACTATGAGTTGTCAAAATGCAAATTGTTTTTCTGTTGATTGACCTGTTAATTAATTGTTAATGCATTATTGTGAATGCTTAGTAATGGCCATGGGGTAAATTTTTAATTTTCTCTTTGATTTACAGCTGAGGCCAGCATTAGGGAGGCAAATTCTGGTCCGTGCCTCATCCAGATGAGGAATGCTGAAAGCATGCAGCCTGTGTACAAAAGAGATGCTGGAGTCTGGCAACAAACAAGAAGTCTTTTGTACAAGAATCTGCTCATCAAATGGAGGATGCAGCAACAGACTCGTCAGGTGCTTAGTTTTCCTGAGACTGATGTGAATCCTAGAAAGGGTATATTGTTGTGCTGTGTTCCAAGGCCATTATAATTCACATTAGCTCCAGCACAGGATGTAAGAGTGGAGATGTGTTTTATTCTGTTGTGTTGCTCAATGCCAGGCTGTAGCTTTTTTTTTCATGGGTTGGAGGGTGTTGTCTTTTGTCACAAAGTTTGATCTACTGTAGTAGTTAGAACCCCCTGAAGACAGGCAGTATTCATAGTTCATCACTAGGAGATGAAAAGTAGTTTTTAAAATTGTTGCAATGAGAAGGGAGTGCAGCCAAAAGGCAAAGTCTTCTATTTATCAGCCAGTCCATGCTCAAAATAGTGTTTATTATATTATTTGATTATAGTCTAGTTTGCAAGAAGATGCTGGAACCAGACCAGAAACACACTGGCATCTGTCCTGGGAATTCCCCGGTATCCTCTGAGCTGCAGGCTGTGACCCTCTTAGGTGTCAAACTGAGGTAGAGGTTCTCTGCCAGGGTGAATTGTGGCAAACCATTTGTGGGTTTTTCATCAGCTATTCCTTTTCTCTGTCTGTACAGGAATTGATCCTACCTCTGCTATTGCTGTGTCTCCTCATACTCATCAGTACCATGATTCCTCATATTTATTATGGAAGCATCAGCACTGTGGAGCTCGAGTTTAACGACCCCGACATCAAGGGCCTGGGCTACACACCAGTCACTAACATCACCAGCCACATCATGGAAGAAGTGGCCCAGGAGATGCGTAAGTACCCGAAAGCCATCTTGTGCTTTAAATTTGCACCCACATTTCAAGACAGTCCTGTGATGTTTGTGACAGCTGTTGATCTGTATCATTTGGGCCAGACGTTTATGGGGCAGCAAATGTGCTCGTTTATGATTAAGACACATTGTCCTTGTGGTTTCAGTCATGCGGGATCGCCTGGAGATGTTTGCCAGCGAGGAGGACCTGGAGAACGCCAGCCTGTATGAGCCGTCCAACTATATTGGTGTTGTGTTCATGGACAGCTCTGCCATGTCTTACAAACTTCGCTTCCCGTACAACGAGCTGCCCCCACCCACTGATTACACAGAATCTGTTGGTAAAATCTGATGCCACTTTGATCTTATTGCATTTTATTTTCTTTCTACACATGTATGTTTATAGTTTCCTTTGGACAAATTATAAACCCCTCCTCACAGTTTCTGTATTTTGCATGTCTGTTTTGCCACCAGTTCAGAGGCAGCACACACCACAAAACAAAGCTTAATTTTTAGAAGGTTTTACAGGTGTGTTGTAATTAACCCAGAATTTCTTAAACCTTCACATATACTACATACTGTTTAGATTCAGACTTTGGTATAATGACTCCTTAATGAAAATATATAACCTATAAGAACATAATAAAAACACTGGACACACACTTGCTTCTACAGTGTGAATCAGTGTCCATTTGATTTCATTATGGTGAAAGGAAAGCATATGGATCCATTAAGGTTGGATCCGGCCATCCTTTAGAAACCAAATAGCAATCTCTGCAGCAGTCCATTAGTCAGGCCTTTGATAAGGGAAGTAGTTATTACTCCTGACTAAAAGGGAGAGAAACCGCTCCACAGCTTGCACAGTCTCATGCTGGGTCAGATTTCAGCCACAGCAAACAGGCGTATACAACTCTGACAACCTTGAAATCTGTGAATGTTAAGTTTCTAATCCAAAGCTGTGACTTAAAACCCACTGTTGCTACTATCTTTGGAAAATCTTTCCATTACCATTTCACTGATACGGATCCTTCCTAAGAGGATCTGGAGGAATACTGGATTATAAGGAATAATAATAAGGAGTAATGTCCAACCCAGATGCCAGATGAGTTTGGGGATAAGGGGGCATGGGGGTCTGGGGAAATTTGTTTGATTTTTATGACTGTGTAATAAGGAACATTACAAAATATGGAAAAACTCAGTGATGCCACTGTATTTTAAATGGAGTGTAAAGAGGAGGCAGTGCAGCTGAGTTGATAAGCTACTAGAGCTGAAATGTAAAGTGCTTGTAATCTGTATCTGATACAGGCTTAATGCTGTCACTGTGCTTCTTCTCCTCCAGCCAACTGCATGGCCAGTTCAGTGAAGTGCACAGCAGCTAATTACTGGTACTCTGGCTTCATCCGCCTCCAGTCGCTGATTGATGCAGCCATCATCCAGGTGAGGCTCACACAAGATTAACACACTGACTCTAAGAGGGAACAAAGATGCAGTGTTTATTGTTCAGGGTCACTTTTTGTGCAGTGAAGAAACTGTCTGTGGAGCTAATTTAAAGGTTTTAAAGTCTGTGATGCTGATCTGTATTTTCAATTAACTGACCTTATGGGTTGGCGAGTTCCTAACCAGAAAAGCACGGGAAGTGAATTAGTTGTTGTTGTTTTTTTATTAAATCATCTTATTCTGAAATGTGTCTGAATTCAACATTTTTATAGCTATAGAAAGTGCAGTGTACATAACACTAATTCTCAGTAAAGTGATTAATCAGTTGGTTCAAGCAGAGTTCGATTTAGCGCTGAAATGATTAGTCCGTGAACCAGTTAGTTGCTCAACAGAAAGTAAATAGAATAGAAACATTTTTTGCAGTTGATAAAATTTGAAAAACAAAGATGTCACCCATTTGTTGGTTCTTCTGCTTCTTTTTCATGTCTTTGTTTCTTGAAAGTCTGTGGCAATTAAAAAATGTCACCCCGTGTTCTCAGAACTCAGGAGGTGCATTTTGCATAACATTTAAAGTTTTCTAGACCAAATAATGAATCGGATAATTGAAGAAATAGTGAGCATTAATTGATAGTGAGTATAATCATTAGTTGTAGAGCTGGTATGTTGGTGGTGATGATGTGGCTTTGTGTATAGATGCAGACAAAGCGGTCAGTGAGGAGCGAGATGGACCTGAAGGTGGTAATGATGGGTCAGCCTAGTTCTGTGGAGGTGCAGAAATTACCCCATGCCCTCATCTCCATCTACCTGGTCCTGGCCTTCACACCATTTGTCACCTTCCTCATTGTTAACGTGGTAGCTGAGAAGGAGCACCGTCTCAAAGACGCCATGACCATGATGGGACTCTATAACACAGCCTTCTGGTAAACAATAGGAGGGGTCCAGTCAGTTTCAGATGCTTGTATATGTTTTGTGTTCATTTGGTTGTGTATATGCTTAATGTTGTACACCAGGTTGTCATGGGGCCTCCTGTATGCAGCCCTGGTGACCACCATGTCCATCCTGATGGCCATCATTGCTACGTACACAGCACTGTTCCCTAACAGTGACTTCTTTGTCATCTTCTTCCTCATCTTCCTCTATGGAATTTCATCTGTGAGTAGAGCAGTGATGCAGGAAAAATACACCAGATGTGTTTCTTTAATAAAATGTCACATCACCCTTCTTGTTTACCTCTAGTGGCCGAAAGTGTTGGTTTTATTTGCCCTGGTTTTGAGATGCATGTCTCTCTATCCCATTTTAATGGTGGTAAAGAGAATTTAGTTTGTGGTGCTCACAGCTTAGAAACAGGATGCTTGAAAATGTCAACATCATTATGTCATGTACCGGGATAATCCACAGACCTTACTGTGAGCGGTTTTTCTCCAACAGCTTTTTGTTGAAGAGTTCCTAAAAATGTTGACATTTAGTGTGTGTTTGAAGGGGAACGTGGCAAAAACCAGGAGGCCACAAACTGTTGTGTTTGAACTATACAAACACAGTCATAATTTCTGGTTAGCATCTCAGTTACATGACAGAACATTAGTTTTAAATGGAAAGAAAAAGCTAAAATTAACTGTTGCAAAGTAAAAGGGCAGCATTACAAACTGTACTGAATAAAGTGTGCCATCAAATCTCTAAGCTGGTGTTTAAACAGTGGCAGTAGGTCTTAATTGCTGCATCACTTAATTTAATTTGTCATAGCTCTCTTTGTGTAACAGCAGCCACAGCGGGAGTCCTGACGGTTCTCACTCTTCCCTCTCATCCTTCATTCATCTTTCTCTCTCCCGTTCACAGATCTTTTTCTCTTTCATGCTGACTCCTTTGTTTAAGAAGCCCAAGTTTGCCAGCACAGTGGGCTCCATGTTGACAGTGGTGTTCGGCTGCCTGTCGCTTTTCACCGTGCTGATAAAGGACTTCCCACAGTCACTGGTCTGGCTCCTTTGTGTGTTTTCCCCCAGTGCCTTCTCAATCGGGATTGCACAGGTAACATGCTCCACTGGTCACCTTGGAGAATATGCTATGTAATGAGACTCCTTATTGGCTAGGTAATTTCCCTATGACTATAGTTAGTCCTGGCTTGTTGGTGTTATTCCCTCCCATGACCCTTGGCCGTCACCAGGGTCTATAGCCATCCAAAATCCAACTACCCCTGCTTCTTCTGCCACTGACCTTGTTTTGTTCATATAAGTAGTTTTAAATTAAAGCATGTCATATAATTTTTGCTTTACAGAAAACAATACATAGCATGGAGGCTGGTAATGGTGGTCATAGGGAATTGATCTGTAAGTGTGCGTATACGTGTTAGGTGGTGTACCTGGAGGCCCAGGGAGCTGGTGCTGTGTTTTCTTCCCTGGCCAATGGCCCCCATCCTCTTTATGTGCCGCTGATCATGCTGGTTCTGGACTGCATCCTCTACCTTCTGTTGGCAGTGTACCTGGACCAGGTACTGCCTGGTAAGTACACATGTACACAGTGTATGTCAGTGTAACTTGCAACTAATGAAGTCTACTTTAATATTGTTAGTCTGTATCAGTTCAGTAGCGACAGCCAAGTTTTCTCATGGGATCATTTTGGTTAAATTTCATGTGTAATAATACCCATTACATCATGTCTGATATGCAGGTGAGTTTGGGGTGAAGAGGTCCCTGGTGTACTTCCTAAAGCCGTCCTATTGGTCCAAACACAGAAGGCGCTACGTTGAAGTGAGTTCAGTGTACGACATGGACGCGAGAAGCACTCTTGGTGGGGACGAATTTGTCGAGCCGGTTTCAGCTGAGTTCAGAGGGAAAGAAGCCATTCGGTAAAAGTCCAAACTGTCAGTTGGGTTTTGTGTCCAGTGTTTACAGTCTGTCACAGTAACCGTTTTGCTTGTTACATTGTTGAATAGGTTACTACAGTTTGACCAAATACCTTTGTATGGTGGGCTTGGATTTCAGGTGTTTTTAATTGTAATGCAGTTTCATTCAGAGGATGAAGCAAAGAATGAACGTTTTTTTTCCCAGTACAAATCAGTGCGGTGTAGTTTTGTTCTTGGTTCAGTACCAAACACTGCTGTTTCACTGACTGGGTCTGTGGGACCAACATGTGACCTAGGAGCTGCTTTCACTCTGACACTGTGTTTCTGTGTTGTTTCCTCATCGCTGGCTTGCTCCCTCTCTGGCAGCATCAGTAACATCCAGAAGGTGTACAAGGAGAAGGGCAATGTGGTGGAGGCTCTGAGAGGTGAGTCCTGAAAACCGCAGATGTTGTGATGTGCTCAGGTTCTCGCTGTATAAATCAGGTGGACCTCACAGTGTCTCCACTTACTGTGGTACTGGGGGGAGCTTATAATATCTGTTGTTCAGTGATGTGCAAAGCAAATCAGTCTGCTTTGAGAATGACAGGTGTTTCTCTGTGCAGGTAGAGCACTCACGCAGAAGCTGTAATCGAAATTTAACCACAGGCTACAAAATGTTAATTAGGCACAGAGAATAAAGGGAAATCTTTATTTGCAGGGTTTTTTTATTAGGCAGAAATATGGTTTTTGTATTATCCCATGGTGGAAAGTCGATGCTGAAACAACACTGTTCAGCCCTTCTGTGTATTCTCATGTTAAAGTGCATCATCTGGTTGATTTTCTTGATGTTGTCCTCGTGTTTCTTTACATCCCCTCTGCAGGTCTGACCTTTGACATTTATGAGGGCCAGATCACAGCTCTGCTCGGACACAGTGGGGCTGGAAAGTCCACTCTGATGAATATCCTGTGTGGTATCTGCACACCCACTAGCGGCTCGGCCTCCATTTATGGCTCCCCTGTAGCAGAGATTGCAGAGGGCTCCGAAATGAAGCGGCTGGTGGGAATTTGCTCCCAGTTCAACATCATCTTTGATGTGCTCACTGTGGAGGAGCACCTAAGGATATTTGCCGCCATCAAAGGGATCTTACCAAAAGACATCGACACAGAGGTAATATGAGGCATTCAGAGGCATGCTCTGAATCCTGTCTTATAGTTGGTGAAATTGGCTGGGCTAGGATTGCTATACCTCTGTGCTCGTGACAGCTGTGGCTGGCATGTTTTCAGGTTGTCTGTCTGTCCTATTATCGAACACAATATCTCAGGAACGCACTGAGCGGATTTCTTCAATTTTGGCACAAATGGCCGCTTGGATTCAAGGACAGTATGACGACAGCATGTTTCCCACTGGAAATTAATTGGAATCGCACGTTAATATAGTGATAGCTTCTGTTTTGCCAAAAACAGTTCTTCTATTATTACATTTCTTCAATACACAAGAATCTGGACAGCCATGCATGGAAACTGCAATTTGGCTGGTTGGGAGGGCATCAAGCCAGCATGTGGGGATTCTAGTTTGTGATATGAAATGTTTTGCTGCTTTCACGTGGTGTTAGGAACACCACACAAAAAACTACTTATAACTAAACTATGATATTCACATTACTGATGTAACAAGAAAATTAATTCATCACATTCATCTACAGGCAGTTAAAATTGTCTTCAGGCTGCTGGTCCATGGTGTATATTTGTTTCTCCCTGACAGGTTACCAAAGTTCTGAAAGATCTGGACTTGGAGAAGATCATGACGGTTCAGGCAAAGAATCTGAGTGGAGGCCAGAAAAGGAAGCTGTCTGTGGGCATCGCTGTTCTTGGAGATCCCAAGGTACCTGCAGCTGAAAATGAATACATGCTTTTAGGATCAATTGTACACTTTTTTGTGTGTATCCCCAAGTCTTCCAAATGTCTGAAGTCGCCAGTAGAATAACATCAGCTCAGGCCCATTCTCAGCAGTTTGCGTCATGTTTGTTTGTGTCAGATCCTGCTCTTGGACGAGCCCACTGCGGGCATGGACCCCTGCTCCAGACACCAGGTCTGGTCGCTACTGAAGAGCCGCAGAGCCGGCAGAGTCACCGTCCTCAGTACTCACTACATGGACGAAGCTGACATTCTTGCTGGTATGAGCTGTTACATAATGCGCCCAGACTGACAGGCATGGAGCCCATTAGACAGATGTTGTCTCAGTTTGGAAGGTGAAAGGGTCAAATTTGTTTTCTAGTCTTCATATTTTTATCTTTTTAGAAAGGAAAAGATTTTGTGCATTTCACACGTTATGTTTGAATTGTGCTGTCAGTAGCAGCTTAAAGCTGTTGATCGTTATTTTAGCTCCTTTTATGCTCTTAAAGTTCATGTTATACATGTTAGCATTCAGAATCCTTAGATTTCCAATGACCTGTTGCAGTTTGAAGTGTCATGAAATTGTTTCCCTTTAGCTACAGTTTGATAATCGCACAGCCTGTGTAACCAGGGTATACACCTGCGCGGGTTCTGTTGTTGTGGTTAAGCACAGATGCTCTGTTTTGTTTTTTTTTCTTCTCCAGATCGCAAAGCTGTTATCTCCCAAGGACAGCTGAAATGTGCTGGCTCTTCCCTGTATCTGAAGGTCAAGTGTGGTGTTGGATATCATCTCAGGCAAGCAGATGTTTTTTATGATTTTATTGATAATTAATAATTCATACATCCTTACTATCTGTGTCTTAATCATAGGTCTTTATTCAGATACTTTTAGAGTGACATTTTTTGCCTCCCTTGCAGAATGTCGATCAGTGAGGGATGTCATGCTGAAATGATTACATCACTGGTCAAACAGCATGTTCCCAAAGCAAAGCTGTCTCGACAGCACGAGGCAGAGTTGACATTCACTCTGCCTTTTGAGAGCAGGGACACATTTCCAGGTGAGATCGCACTACATAGTTAAGTAACAATAATAACCCCTGTCTGCTGCGTTGATGTTCCCTGAAACCACAAGTTCTTTTGTTTTGAATTTGTTCAAGGGTATGAAAGTCCATTTAAATAGTTTCCAGCCTTCCTACTGTTTACACTGTCCATTAGTTGCAAACCTCACTCCGACAAATGCTGAAATAATTATTGCAACTCATTTGTGACTTGGCTTTGAATGTAAGAGCAGTGAACCAGCAGCATTCAGTGATTAATTTGTCTTTTATAGGCTTGTTCTCTGAGCTTGACTCTCAGCCCAATCTGGGAATCAACTATGGGGTTTCCATGACAACTCTGGAGGATGTTTTTCTTCGCCTGGAGGCAGAGGCTGAAGTGGACCAAGCAGGTGAGTGCGTTACCAAAACAAAACTCAACATCAGTCAAGTCCCAAACTAAGTAATCTGCCTGTTCCGCGTCTGCAGACTACAGTGTGTTTAATCGGGAGCAGGCAGAGGATGAATGTGACAGCGTCTCGCTGGACGACACAGACCAAAGGCTGCTGATGTTCGCAGACAAATCGGACACTCTGTCGGGTTGTGCTCTGTGGCGGCAGCAGTTCAGCACTGTGGCCTGGCTGCACATGCTCAACATGGTCAGGGAGAGGAAGGCCTTTGTATACACGTGAGTATTCAGTGGCAGAAATGATCTGAAAACAAAATGTTTAAGTAGTGCTGTAGGATAGTAAAGGATCAGTGTGTGTGTGTGTGTGTGTGTGCTTTTTAAGGCACTGTCCCATTTATCCTGTCTTTCCTCCACACCTAACTTCTCCTGCAGTTTGCCTTTGGTCCTGGTGTTTGTTGTTGCAATGTCCATCCTGTCTCTGGTCACTGGAAACATCCAGATTCACTCACCAGACCAAGAGGTTCTGCCCATTTACCTCCTCAGAAGGAGTCAGGCACCCCAGAGATATGTCACCAGTCTGCTGGTTCAGAACTCCTCAAGTGAGTCCACTGGCGATTTGCTGAAGGATAAGCTTTTGTTTTGTGACCTTTTCCAAGGGCTCTCATCACACATTAAGTTTTGCAGGCTGAAAATATGAAACCTACACCTTGTATAAAATGATACAGGCAAGTCAGAAAGTGTTGCATGCTGTAAATGTTGTGATGGATACTGACTGCTGTACTACATAATATGAATTGTCCCATGGATGCAATTGTAACTGTTCAATATCCCTGATACTGAACAGTTATCCTCGCTGCATTCTCTATTTTAAACTCCTCACAGTACAGATTTCTTTTGCCACCAGGCTCTGATATTTCAGACTTCCTCCACAACCTGGAGTCTCAGGATATCAAAGTGGAAATGTTGAAACAAAATGACTACATGGCTGCAGCTCCCCACAGTGCCGCCATCAACGTCACAGGATCCAGCAAGGTCACTTTAATATTGAATAGACTGAACTTATTTTTTGATACCAGATATTTGATTAGCATCAGATGTGAGCTCACCTTTCCCACAGCCTACAGGGGTTTCTAACTGAGAGCTTTGTACTGAGTACCCCTTCATTTTCTGTCTGTTAACAGGGTTTCACATACAGCGTTGCCTTCAACAGCACCACAGTGCACTCCCTGCCTATGGTGGTCAACATACTGAGCAATGCTCTTCTGAGGGGTCTGAATGGTACTGGACGGATCAGAACCTGGACCAAACCATTTGACTATGTGAGTATTTAGGCGAGTTTGGCGTCAGATGTGACCAAGCTCATCTATTCTGTTCCTCTGTGTCATTTGAAAATACTAAACCTCCCTACTGTGACATCCTTCAGCAAATTCCAGATAGCACCTCCCGTGTTATGGTGTACATAGAGGCCATCATAGTGGGGCTGCTGGCAGCTGGAATGCCTGCATACTTTGCACTGGACCACACTCAAGACCGAGAGGTAACCACTTGCTCACACTAATTATTATTTATTTTAATGTGTGCAGCAGGGCAGTTGCTGTTGTTGTGTTAATGATGTAGAGTTGTGTAGCTGCTGTGTGACCAAGCCTCCAGCCTTACCTGTTCTATAAGGTTGCACAAGTGAGTTTTGCTGCCCATAAGCATAAACTGCTTCTACCATGAACAAAATTAATAGTATATAGTTTGGATACTGCGTCTTCAGAGGTAAAAGACACAGCACCTCTTCTTTGAACATTTCCCTGATGAAGTATCTCACAAATGCCGACAGCTGCGCAGTATCAGTTGCATCTGTTGACTCGTCCTTGACTAGTTCCCAAGTTACACGAAGCGAAGCAGCAGTTGATTTCTCAGCAGCAGTCGTTGCAGTTGTTAGGATCATTTGGATTTGTTTTGAGCTTTTACTCCTGACTTCTCCTGCGATCTCATTCTCATAACAGCCATTAGATATTTTTAGCATTAGCTAGTACTGATAGATGTCAGATATTATTGCTTGCTCTACATTTTGACTTTTAAATGTTTCCTCCTCAGATCAAGTGTCGTTCTACGCTGCGTATTTCTGGCCTGCTACCATCAGCCTATTGGTGTGGCCAGGCGGCTGTGGACGTCCCTTTCTTCTACGTCATCCTGTACTTCATGACCATTATCCTCTTCTCCTTCCACACTGGAAACCTGCTCACCTTCAGCAACTTCACTGCTGTGGTCTGTATCACTGCTTTGCTACACTGTGGCCCACACACATATTACACATGTTTATTTGCATTACTCCTTTCACATACACACCTTTTATTTCACTTAAAGTACAAGATGAATGTTTCTGGTAATATTAATTAAACTCAACATTATCACTGACTGACTTCTCGCCTCTCTTAGGTTCTGTGTACTGTTGGCTTCGCTCCAGCTTTGATCCTCTTAGCTTATGTGTTTTCGTTTTGCTTTGCCAAAGGCCAGAGCAGCAGGGATTTCTTCTCTGGCATCTCTATGATGGTGAGGAAGGACATCTTGTCCTTACATTTGGAGAATATAGGTTCAAATGCCTTCCAAAATGTGAACTCCAAAGAGTGCTTCTGAACTGTGATCACATAAAAAGTAAACTGGTCCAAATCACATGAAAGGGTTTTGCTTACTAACCTAGTGACATATGCTTTAGGTGTCTATGGTGTCAGCCTCAGTGGTTCGGTTGGGGTTTGTGAGCGACCACCCTGGGCTGTTCATAATCCTGCACAACACCATGTGTTTCATCAGCCCTTTCTACGCTCTCACAGGCTGCGTCAACTGCATTGCCATGGTAGGAGAACAACCAGAGCCACCTTGCAGTTCTCTCACTGGTTTATCTACCCTTTTTTATTTGTCTGCTTTAAGCTGTTGTAGACAGTGTGATGTGGAGTAGTGGTTCTTAGCTATGACACCAACTCTGCAGTTATTTAAGCCTCTTATAGCTCAATGTTTGGGTCAGTGTTTGCACAGTGACTGTATGATTAGGTCTCTCCTGCTCTCTTCCCCATATGAAACTGTATCCTGCTGTTTGCAGCAAACAAGCTCTTAAGCTAACTGTTTGCTACCTGCTCAGCAACTACTGTATATAGCTAGTAAAAACACTGAACATCTACCAGCTAAAGAGACAGATACTTTTTCAGGAGTTAGTGCTGACCAATCCAGATATTATTTTCTTTACATTTAAGGTAGAAAAATGCAATTAACTGCTTACAGTGGTTCAGGTGTAGATGTTTCATACCTGTTTAGCAGACAGTGGTTGCTGGACTAAGCAGTAACAACCTCACTAATGATTGTTTTCTGTTTTCAGGCGACCTTCCTCCCCACTGTGTACAAGGAGCACTTCATTTGGAACAGTCTGGTCATCGCGGTTGTAGCTGTACGTGTCTCTTCTAAAATATTCTAGCCAAAACAGTGATATGCTCAGCAGTCCATGTTCAGCCATAATACTGTCAGTCCCTCTTTCTGTTCTCAGCCCTATCTCCATTGCCTCCTACTGCTTGCCCTGCTTCGGTGGCTTGAGATCCGTTACGGAGGGAGGACTATGAAAAGCAATCAGTTTTGCAGGTGATAACTCGGATTACAGTAAACCTCAGTACATTTATATTATACATGTTGCGGTGTATTTTGTGTGTTGAATGAACAGTGCAGGTGTCTTACATAGAACTGAAGTTTGTCTGTTTATCATAACACAAACTGAGTTAATAAAATAAATATTGTTTGACCAAGAGCCAAGTTGGTGTTTTTGTTTAAACCATCACAGGATCTCATGCAAGTCAAAGCCCAAAGTGGAGAAGAACCCAGAAGAAGGGATGAACGAGGATGAGGATGTACAGATGGAGAAGGCCAGGGTGAAGGAGGCCCTCACCTGCCACTCCTGTGAGGAGGTGAGTGATGTTTAACTGGATAGCTCATCCTTTGGCATATGAAATCAAGGAGCTGGTGACTTTTGTACCACTGGATGCTCCAGACATGGGCCGTTTTACTGGAGCTGGAGAATTTGATGTCGATTTTGTTCACTTTCACTGTGTCCTGAACTTTTAGAAACCAGTGGTGGTTGTGAGTAACCTCAGGAAATGGTACAAAAGCGAAAGAGAAGGTTTCTCTCTGAGGAAGACAAGAAAAGTCGCCACAAACAACGTCTCCTTCTGTGTTCGCAAAGGTATGTGCAGTTTTTTTTTTGTCATGTAGAAAAAAGTAGGAAATGCTGCTGGAAAATCTGGAAACTTTATAAAAAGTGTTGAGCATAATCTTTATTTTAGGGAAAAGTCAGAGTTCACAAATATCACAACTTCACTGCTGTTTTTTCAGGTGAGGTCCTGGGACTGTTGGGCCCCAACGGAGCAGGAAAGAGCACCATCATGCACATGTTGTCAGGTGACACTGACCCCACAGCAGGCCAGGTACACAACAGATTATAGTGAAGCTCCATCCACATCCCAGGCCTTAACACTCGGTCCTGATGTTTCAGTCAACTCTGACCTTGTTGTGTTGCTGCTTCCTGTCCGTGTGCGTCACATTTCAGTTACACAACCAGGTTGTGTGTGTGTGTGTAACGGTCAAACAGCCCAGTTTCCTCCCAAACCACTGGGTTACGTACGATATGTTCCTTCCAGTTTGGCCTGATCAGAAGCTTCTACATAAATGTCCACCACATGTAAAACATCCTGGTCTCCCCACTGACCCCGTCGCTGGCATCGCTCTCCTCCATGTTTATTGTTAGCGGTCTGTAAGGGGCCGATGCTGAATGATGAAAACAGGCCGTAACTGAAGGTTGATATCAGTTGTATATTTATATGAACATAATGTCACTTTTTACACAGTTTTGTTTGTTGTTGCAGTGAAAAAAGGATTTTTTTCTTAACTGAAAGTCATATTACTGAAATGATTCATATTGCTGTTAACATTGTGAGTAGTCTGACCTTCAACCAATAATGTCCATGAATGGTGAAAAGAAATACCTCTGTCTTAGAAAAATGCTGAAAACTAAAGTAGATGGTTGGGCGTGGAACATGATGTTAGGAGTTCAGTGACCGTCTGTTCTCCTGTGACCAGGTGCTGTTAGGGGACTACAGTACAGAGTATTGTCCAGTGGCCACACCTCTGGAGCATGTGGGCTACTGTCCTCAGGTGAACCCTCTGTGGCCCAGAATCACTTTGCAGGAGCACCTGGAGATCTATGCCGCCATCAAGGGTCTGAGGGGCCAGGACGTACCAGGGATCATCAAACAGTGAGTCTCGGCTCACCCACATAGACATCACAACTGTGGGGTGTTTAATTTTTGCCATGTTAATCTGTTAAAATGAAGTCCTGTAGTGTGAATACTACACACTGTACAGGTAGTTTGACTTTATTTTATCTTGCATGTTATTTTTAAAATTCATTAATTCTAACTTTATTTACAGCATTTATTGTATACCTACTCGACCCAGAGCTGGGCTAGGGGCTGTGGTGTACAAGGTTTACACAGCTTCTTTAAATAGAGTGGAATCTGTTTTTTAATGATGGCTGAAATACAAGAATATGTTTTATTCATACATAGCTTTTGTTATGAAAATGAATGGAGCACAAGGCTCAGTGTAAGAGCTCCTGACAGCCAGTTTTTTTGTCAGGGTGGTGAATGCCCTGGAGCTGAAGGATCATCTGGACAAACAAACTAAGAGCCTTTCAGCTGGAGTCAAGAGGAAGGTGAGGACATGTCCAGTGTTTTTAATAGGGATGGGGCAGTATATTGAAGTTCAGTATATCGTGATACAACAACGTCACAGTATATATCATTTTGTCTGGTGATATATATCACATGGTCTCCATATACCAGCGACTTCATATTTTTTGTACATTAGCTAGCTTAACACATCTTGAGTCAGTATATCTGGTTGTACTTTACATAATCAAACCAGTACTAGAAAAGTGGAAAAAAAGAGGAATAAAGTACAAGTTTTCTGCAACTAGTCACACATTGTTGTCATTGGATTTTTAATTTTATCGTGATCGATTTAATGCAGACAAACTACATCTCTTGACTTAGCAGAACAAAACCTGTTTCTGTTCTGCTGAAGTTGGGTCGTACTTCTCTGAATCTCATCCAGCTGTTATGAATACTCATTGAATTATGAAGTCTTACAACATTTTGTTCTGATCACAGTACATTTAATCACTTTAACCTGTTGTGTTACTGAGTGAATTCTCTGTGTCATTAAATACTTACCCGGTGTTTGCTGCACTGTTGTCTTTTTTTTGTTTCTAGTTGTGCTTTGCCCTGAGTATGATTGGGAATCCTCAGATTGTCCTCCTGGATGAGCCATCAGCAGGGATGGACCCCAAGTCTAAACAGCGCATGTGGTGAGACCGCAGTCATATGATGACAGCGTATCATATGATTAATAAGGTGGTGTTGGTTCCTCTCTTCACAGAGCCTGGCTGTTGGAAGATACTCACCGTCTCCCTTTGACTTGGTGCCAGTTTTTAAAACACTCTCAGACCTTTACATCTCCTTTGTGTAGGAGGGCCATACGTGCTGCTTTCAAGAACCGCCAGCGGGGAGCCATCCTCACCACACACTACATGGAGGAGGCTGAGGCCGTGTGCGACCGCGTAGCTATCCTAGTTTCCGGCCAGCTGAGGTTTGTGCTTATAACGGGACCCAGCTGTGTTGTATTGTGATGATTTCCCAATCAATGGACACTACTACTCTTTCTCCAACAGATGTATTGGATCCATCCAACATTTAAAAGGGAAATACGGTCAAAGTTACAGCTTGGAGCTGAAACTCAGAGAGGAACTGACAGAGGTCCAGCAGGTGGCGCTGGTGCACAAAGAAATCCTCCAAATCTTCCCTCATGCTGCCCGGCAGGAGAGGTGAGTCCCAGCCCAATTGTATGAGAGTTTGTATACTGTGTGTGTGTGTGTGTGGAGTGAGTCTGATTCTGAGTTGTGCTGTACTGAGGACGAGCCATGCTGCCTGCGGCTGGACTTCAACATTTTATGTTAGGCAGCAGATATCGGCACAACTTCCTGCTACACAAATGTCATAACAAACTTCTCTTCTAATTAGCCTTGTTCATGTATGTACAGGAACAAATCTTTTAGTATTAACACCAAAATGAAGGGCAACACATTGACTTTACACATTTTTGGAAGGGGAAGTGCAACATCTCAGGAAGTTGGGCAAATTCACCATTAAAATGCATTTACTCACATAAACACATATTAGCAGCAAAGTAGGAAATATATACAGGACTGGAAGTGTCAACAGGTAGCTTTCAAAATAAAGGGGTTGCTAAAACAAATAGGTTTTACAAAAATGTGTATGCCTTGTTCATAATGTAGTCTAAGAAGGTGCACGCTGCTGCTTGTGAGTGGCCACTTCTGTTTACTGATGCTTTGTTTGCAGCTTTGCTACTCTGATGGTTTACATGATCCCCATAGAAGATGTGAAATCGTTGGCCAAGGCGTTCTCTCAGTTAGAAAGTGGTGAGTCACTGCTGATCACACCTCTGCCTCCTGGGTCATACTTGCTGATTCACTCAGTGTAACTTAACTTTGGAATTTCTGTTTATCTTCAGCAAAGCAGACCTTCAACTTTGAGGAGTACAACTTCTCCCAATCGACCTTAGAGCAGGTACGTGGTTAAAGGAAATGCACCACAGTTTCAAATGCAGAAACAGCATGGCCAACCAGAACAAGTCTTCTGAGTCACCTTGGGCTCAGAAATGCCGTGGGCATTTTGATCATTTACAGAGTTTTCAGACCCTCAGATGCTGAGACCTTCAGTCTTTAATTTTTAATACATTTACAAAACACTCCAAAAACCTGTTTTCACTGTATCACTGTGGAGTATTGTGTGTAGATTGGTGAGGAAAAAAATTAACTGAATTAACTTTTAAGATGAGTCTGAAACATAACAATGTGGAAAACTTGAAAGGGTCAGAAACCTTTCCATACTGACTGTAATTATGATCTCCATTTTGATGTCTCATCTTTGTCCTACAGGTGTTTCTGAAGTTTGCCAAGGAGCAGGAGAATGAGGAAGACGAGGTGGGCTCGCTCAGTACAACGTTCCAGTGGCAGCGGCTCCCCCAGGATGGTTCAGCGTCAGCCGACCACACAGACAGCATCGTGCACCAGTTGTGAAAGGCAGCAGGCTGGTGTCTGACCACCATTGTCCGGTCCTGACCTGCCAGGCTGCGGCAGCTGAGGGCTCACGCCAGCACACAGCTGCTACACACAGACCTCCACCATTACATGAACAGGACAGACCTGGGTGGGGTTGTCACGGTTCCTTTCTGTGGGTGTGAGGTGTGCATGCGTGTAACCCTCATCCACCGGTGCTTTGGGTTTTCTGAGTCGTACTGAGAGAGGGGCCTGCAGATTTTCTCGACACGCTGATGCGACACCTACTCTTTTTTAATGCTGTTTTTAATCTTCACAGGGAGTCGGTAAATGAAAACATATACAGTATTTATGCTTTGTAATCCTTGCTGTTCGTTCTCCTCTGTGGAAGGCATTACACTGTGTTTGCTCGTCTCTTCAGCTGTTTTTGTCTGCTGTGTTTGTGAAACTGTTTTTAAGCACTACCAGAACTGGGATCCATCCACAGTTGTACCAAAGCAGCACATCTCTGAACCATACAGCCTCACACATCGACACTGAGAAGAAGTTTTTGTTTTTTGGTGTCAGTAGCATGTGCATAAATAGTTTGCATAATATTTCTGTCATTGATGTGGGGCAGTGGAATTAACGCCTGTTTGCTAACACTGGAGAAGTGATGCTCCAAGCTCTTCCCCCCTACTGTGCTTTTCTCATCTGAGGCTGAAGAGCAGTGCCTTCTCCTCAGTTTACACCAGCATGCATGTCCTTGTCCAGACCCACACTTAAACATTCTCCAGCACTGAGTGTTTTTGCATGTACACTCAAGGAGGTTGATTATTTTGAAACGTGGCAGATGTTTATGGAATGACGGTTTTGGATAGATGATTTTTGCCCTGTGGCCTTGTTCTCTGCAGGATTAGCTTTGAACTAGAACCCATAGCTTGGGAATGTAGTGTAGATTATTCACATCAGTACATGTAGCATATTGCCCTCATCACACATTAGCCAAGGCTGTTAACCTCAGACATGGATAGGTGGTGCTGGAGGTTCAGATCCAGATGGGGCTTGTTGAAACATGCGTTGTTTCTCCTCCAGGTTTCAGGAAAAGTTTTGATAACAGATGTTGAATGTACGTTTGTCCTCCAGTGAGAGGAGGGTTGTAACTCAGCAGTGACCCTGTGTGGAGCTCCTCTCGTCACTGTTTCACTACGATGCCACTTTTAATCGCGCAGCTGTGTTGTGTTGGCTAGGTCCAGCCTGTTGTGTGTGTGTGTGTGTGTGTGTGTATATATTGTGTTGTATATACTGTAATCACATATGCATAATCTAGTATTTGTATAAGCAGGTGTGTTGTTGGTGCAACACCTGTCAGCAAACCGATAAATTGTAATTTTGTTATAACATTCAGGTGAAATGATGAGGTTCGAGGGGAATTTAATTGAATTCAACAAAATAAGCTACACAGAGGGAAGTGTTTGTTGCAGGGCGGTTATATCGGATTTAAATTGAACTGTCTGGTGTGTGATTTGTTCACCTCCAGTAAAACGAGTATCTTTTGAATTTTGCTTGAAGTTGTCTACTTGCGATAGAGCATTCTTGGAGCAGAAGCTGGAGGCTTATGTCAAAGATGACCTAAAATTCTTTTTATTATAAGTTACAGAAACTTACTTGAATAAGAATTTATTTTCTGTCCAGAGCTCCATCATGTGTCTAACTCTGATTCACCGACATTTGGTGGTTTTTCAGTCCTAGACTAGGTGTTTGTGATGACTTACCGTGATGTTGTTTTGCGGTAGCTTCTACTTTGTTTTTATGATTTTATCTGCGGTTTTGTTGTTGTTGTTGTTTATGTTGTTGTTGTTGTTGTTTATGTTGGTTTAGTTTTTTTTTTTTACTCCCAACACATCAGTTACTGAGGCTGAGTAAGAGCTGATTTACCAAGTTTAATGATCATGTTTTAAAAATTTGTGAGAAGGTGAACTGGAGGAATGCTTCTCTCTTTTGTAAATTTGAAAACTTTATTTAAACTCAAGGTGAAATGAAACGGTACATTGGACATGTTTGCAGGGATGGGTGGGTTTTTGAGTTGTTCTGTGTAAACACTATGTATATTTTCTCAAGTGCAATGTAGGACTTATGTTAACAAAGCAGTTTTTGATCCTACTCCAGTGTGCGTGTTCTGTTTTGATTATCACTTTCAGTAACATGTAGCCATCCAAATGCCATCAGCTGGTTTACACTTCTCTTATTTTGCCCTGGTTCCAGAAAAAAGTTCCAAGTACAGTATTTCACATGGGGAAAACCAAAATGATCTTTGACATTGTGGAAAGTGAAGTGTTTGAATAATTGGTATTGAAAGTGGAGCAGGTTTCATTTGATTTTCCTGGTGGTGGTAGAATTGCACTATTTCTGGGAAATTTTATAACCTTTCTTTATATTATGCAAACTTTGTATAATTATCTGTGCACTGATTTTATTTTTTAAAGACTCTGGTTTAGCTGTGTGCTGTATTTTCCTCATGTATTCCCTGGTGTCTGGGTCGACACCTCCCCCTAATGAACTCTGTGGCCTCTATGTGACCTTTTCCTGAATAAATATTAATCCAAATTATTGTTTTATCTTTTTTATGTACAGAGCAGACAGACAGCAATTCAACACTCATCACCCTTTTTAAATCATGTTTGGTTAAAACTAAAATATTTTACTTCAACAGCAAGTATATTATAAATGCTATTAAAGTAGGAGAGACGCAGAGAGGGTATTAGAGATCTATAGTTACTACAAACATCTGTACAACCTTCTTCTATTGGCCTCTCCTCGGTTCTGTTTTGTCACTTTATTTTGAAAGTGTTTACTGGAGTGTAAGTTGTTGCGGTTCCACATGCGGCCGATCGGTGGCACTCGTGAGCACATTTTCTAGATAACCGTCTTAGGAAAACACTCGTGTATTTCGTTTCACAGTCGTGACACGTATTTTGATCAAATACTTCCATCTCTTAATAAATGTCATAGTCAAAATTTAAACATTTTTGAGCTTTAGCGAAATTAAATTTTGTCCTTTTTGTCGCTGCACAGATTCCGTCCTTCCTGGTGTGGGTGTGGACAGTTACACAGATGACTACACACATAATGGACGGCGAGCTACAGTAGGCTACTTCTTAGAACTCAGAAAAAGAAAGTTAAAATCTGGATATTGTTTCATATTCCTTTCCTGGCTGCAAAGTGTAGCTGGGATGCTGTGTGAGAATGGGAAATCTTTTTGGAAAAAAGAAACAGACGCGAGTGACAGAACACGACAAGGCGATTCTGGTAAGTGTCACAGCTAGCTAACGTTAGCTAGCTAACTGAACTGTTCACATCGGCATCGACACTGGACGGCCTTTCCTGCAACAGAGAAATGCGTTGAGAAATGGGCCAATCTAATAATCACTAATCGTGGTCCCGTGTTTTAAAACGACTCCAGCAGTTTAACACTCCGAAGGTTTTCTTCAGTTCAGCATGAATCTAAATAAAGATCGCAATAAGAATTTGATGTGTTGAGTAGATTAATTTCACATCAATCTGCATCCAGAAAGCACGGTTCAGAGCCACGGTGCCTAAGTTAGTGCTATATTAATGACTTAAGTATATCTGAGTGTAAGTGGCAGGCGTGTACACACATACTGTGTGTAATCATGTCTCTGTTTCCTCTTTGCAGCAACTGAAACAGCAACGAGATAAACTGCGGCAGTATCAGAAGAGGCTCAACCTGCACCTGGACAAGGAGAGGCTTTTAGCCAAACAGCTGCTAAAAGAGGGCAAAAAAGAGTGAGTATAAAAATGTGCCGGTTAAGGCGACGCTGTGGCCCTGGTCTGAGTCAGGGTTACGTCAGAAAGGACGTCCGGCGTAAACCACGTGCCACATGTCAACATGCGAGTCGTCAGTGTGACGATTCGCTGTGGCGACCCCTAAACGGGAAAAGCCGGAAGTGACTTTCTTTCGTAGTGAAAGAGGCACAACAGAGGAATGGTTCGCTAATAAAACCTTTTGTTGTTAAAGTTGAAAAACCATGTAATCTGACCTGTTGTGTCATTTCAGCCAGGCTCATCTTCAAAGTTGAATTAGTTTTGTATTTACCAAATAATATCTTGTATTGTCCCAGCTTCAATGTAAATGAAATTTCTTCAGTGATTTTGACTTCCCTGTCTTCTGGATTCGAACAGCAAAGCCCTCCTCTTGCTAAAAAAGAAGCGCTACCAGGACCAACTTCTAGACAAGACAGAGAACCAGATCAGTAACCTGGAGCGCATGGTGAGTGATCGGAGGATGTGATGGACACACGGTGTGTCACAGCAGTAGCCCTAAAGTGAAACTAAAAGCTTCTCTTTCTCCTGCTTGTTCCAGGTTCAAGACCTGGAGTTTGCCCAGATTGAAAGGAAAGTCATTGATGGATTGAAAGTTGGAAATGAATGTCTGAAAAAAATGCACGAGGTAGGCATTGTTAGGTGTTCATCAACATCTCGTATATCACACCTTCTGCCTGCACCACTGGTTGTCACTAGGCTCAGGGTGACTGGTTTTCTCACACTAGGTGATGTCTGTTGAAGAAGTGGAGCGGATTATGGATGAAACCCAAGATGCCATTGAGTACCAAAGGGTAAGTCCCAGCGGCAATGTTGGAAACAATAATACTGGCAAATTTCCAGCTGCAGATTGTTTCTAAAATGTATGTAACGTGCACACGTTTATCATTGGGCTTCTAAGCTCTGACTGTTCTTCACTGAGTGCTGTTTGTCTTTCTGCAGCAAATAGATGAGATGCTGACTGGCTCTTTATCACAAGAAGATGAAGACGCCGTCCTGGCTGAGCTGGAGGCCATAACTCAGGTTAGTCTCATCTGTGATTGTGTTTATACTCAGGCTTTGAAGTCTGAAGATTCAGATTTGCTGGGGCCTAGACTGGCGTCAGTCTTTTCCTCAAATCAATTTGATTTATATAGCACTTTAAAAACAACATCCATTTGACCAAAGTACTTTACATAGGCAGGATAAAATCACAATAAATAACTAAAATAAAATAAATAGTTCAGTGAAAAAAATAAAACACAATAACACACAGATGACACACATTCAATAAATGAAATTAAAAGGAATGCATCAGGCCCTACTGTGTATTAAAAGCCAAGGTAAATAAATATGTTTTAAGCAATGATTGAAAAGTAGTCAGGTCAGTAGCTGATCTAACATTAAGATGTAGACTATTCCACAATTCAGGGGCTGCAACAGTAAAAGCATCATCACGTGCCCTCTCTCATCATCTTCTCAACTCTTAGGCAGACGTTGAGCTTCCTGAGGTTCCTTCAGACGAGCTGCCAGAAGCCCCGGAGGCCAGAAAGGAGAAGCCAGGTTTCTTCTCTCTCATGTTTGTCTTAAATTCACCTCAGGCCCCTATGAAAGGGGCCCAACAGCCTCTTTGTTTGGTCCTGATCTCCTTGCAGCTTTATGATAAATGATGTCATGGTGCATATTGTCATTATAATCTAAAAAGTCTGTAACATGCAGGTTGAACCAGTTTAGTAACTTCTGTATTTTGCTATGTTAAAAGCAAAATCCCACTTTCTTATTATTTGGACTACTAATGTGCATCTTGTTCTCATGAAGCTCAGCCACAGTTTGGAGCTTGGGCTTGCAGACCTGTTGATACTGTATATATGGAAGCAGTGAGAAGAACTTGTTTTGAATAGATTGATCTGAGCCTGAACTATGTGACATCAGAGTTCACCACACACCACTAAACACATCCTCAACACCTGCCTTGTGTAACTGTGAATCTGTTTTTGTTTTAGAGAGGGAACGTGAACGTCCCAGAAAGAAAGCTGAGCGCGAGGTTCTCGCTGTGTAGGAACCTGCCTGAACTCCCTCCACTGACCTGCCGTCCGCTGCAACTTCTGTGCAACATTCAAGTCCTACATGAACCTACAACCACGCAAACACTTTGCTGGAGAACCCAGCCTATGATAAAAGGGTGACCATCCAGCTGCTCTTTGTCCTCGTCAGCTTCAGGCCGACACGAGGCCGCACGGGGCTGGTTCAAGGCAGCAACCTCGGGAAATGATTTGAACCATGAAGATATGATATCAGAGAATTGTGCCTAATTCTTTGTTTGATTAGCACATGTATGTGTTACTGTCAGTCATCTTCCTCACCTCCACTGACATCTTGTGATCTGTAAAGGGTCAGTCTATTCAAATTACAGACATGTTTACCCACATGCATCCAGTTCTGTCATGTGGTTCAGTTTTGTAGATCCGTCTCTGCCTCCACCTCAGTACAGTGCCGGAGGGCAGTGGAATTTCATCGGTGCTGCTCACATAACTGAAACGTGGCATTAGGAGAAACTCGGCAACAGCATGTTTCCAGGAAGCAGTGTCTCTGTTACCCCCCGTAATCTACAACTATAATGAAATAGCCTTTTCTGTCGGCTCAGTATATCATGTGTTCTCCTGTGAGCAACACTCAGAAAGCACCACAGAGAATTTTATATTTTTTAGTTTCTTAATGTGAACAGTGTTCACTCTGTCTGCCGAGATGGAGAATGTTCCTTGTGGCATGTTGCTCCTTTTTTTAAAAACTATTGGCAATGAAGTTTTAAATACTGACATTATATTTAAGTGCAGAAAAAACCAACAGTGTGGTGTCAAACAGCACTAGGTTTGAGTGATAGAAATGCTTTTCCTCTCATTTGAGTGAACTGACCCTTTAAACCAGGATGGTTGATGCTCTGTGAAGTCTCACAGGACGGGCTGTGGTGCAGTTGCCCAGCTGACAAGTCTTGTGACCCAGTCTCCCAAGTTTCTGTGAAGCACCAAAACATTTGCATGTTTCACACATTCTCCCAGTCTGACCTCTGTCCAAGCAGCTTCACTAATCTCACTGTGTGCTCCCCTTGTGGATTAGCTCAGCGTCACTGGAGAAGGGCTAATCTCACGCTCTGAAGCCCAGACAACAGTTGTTAATCTCTTCAAGGTAACAACTTGACAGAACCAGGATCTTTACCCAGCAAGTGTTATTGTAATGATTTTACTGTGCATATCATGCTCAGACTTGCTTGTTTGTATGGATGTGTGTTAAACTGCATTAAGAATGGTGGCCTATATTCATATTAGTTTGTGTATGTTTTACGAATCATGGAATTAATCTCTAAATCAGTTAATCTCGTAGACAGAAACACTGATGACCCATAATGTTGGGCTGCAGACGTCCTCCCGTCAGCATCAGACTGGTCTGTACCTGCACATTCTTTTTACAATAAATGTTTTTTTATTGTCACAGGCTCTGGAGCCTCAGAAGTCTTTTTTTTTTTCCATGACTGGACACAAGGTGGCAGCACAGAACATATCAAGTCTGTTGTGGAGAGCAGGTGACATGTCTGGGTGGTGCTGGAGTCACTGGACGCCTTAGTTCAAATGAT